CACACTGATCAAATTATGTATAAAAAAACCTTTACCTTCTACCACATTCATAATCAGAAACAAGATTATTCAAACCCTCATTGATGAACTAAGATGATGGATTGCAATGCTGGAAATAACCAATGATTGTTTCTAGAAGGATTCCATGTTAGAGTTGACTTATATCCTTAGCATACATTCAGATTTATTATTAACTTTATATATATATATATATATATATATATATATATATATATATATATGTATTATCAATATCAAGGTGGTTTAAAAAAAATTAGCAATTACAGAAATGTATACATTTAAAAACATTTGGTAAAAAGCTTAACCTCACCCACCCAAGTACTATCTACCCCTGTCTAGCCATGGACAGCAGCACCAAGCGTTGTTTATCAGTTAAGGGGTGGGGGTGAGAATGAGTCTGTATAGAGTTTGAAGAGATGGGTCTTGAAGGGAGTTTTGAAGGCTGGATGGTCCGTATATTGCAGATGTGTAAAGGGAGAGAATTCCATGTTATCCAGAGTATTTTTGGTTGTTTTGTCTAGCTGTAAAGTATTATCTTCATACTGGAGGTATATCTTGATGGGGAGATTCAGCCATCTCTTTGAAAGGTTATAACATTTTAGGTATTTGAGACTGCTGTGTGCTGTTATAAATGAGTAATTTCATGAATTTAATCAGTGGGTGGTTCTGGCATAGGTAGAAAATTGTAAGTTGGGGTAACCTTTCCATTTCAATCCATAAACACTTGCCTCAGGTGATCAGTTTTAAGATCACAAATCTACAAATGAATTGCCAAATTTCTCGGCATTTAAAACATTTTTATTTATACGGAGGCATTTTTAAAAAGTGAGCTGCTGCTAGAAAATAAATCAGTTATTATGTATTTAATCAGTGTTGTTTGGTGCCCGAGGCAATGGCAGACCAATGTCACTTCTGTATATCAGGTGCTTCTATATTAAAAACCCCCCCCCCCCCAATCTTTAAAAAAATGTACTCTCCCAAATGCAAATACAGCTTTAATAGTTTCTTGCGACTAAGTTTAAAGTCATTTGATTATACACATTTAAATATAGCTTCATAAACATTTTCATTGCCACTAAGTTTAAAGTCTTTTGATTATAAATATTTAAATATGGCTTAAAGAGACTATTACTAGAAGATATCATTTTGTTCTACATAATTCCATGTCTCTCATCCACTCGTTAAACAGCAGTCCACCATTATTAAGTTTCTTATCAAACAACAAACATTCATGTTGGAGTGTCTCATCCTATAGAACTCTTCAATGTGTCTCATCATATAGAACTCTTCAATGTGTCTCATGATATAGAACTCTTCTATTTTTTGTATTGTCATCAAACAGCCCTCATTCATTTGTGTCTCTCATTTGCTTAACAAACAGCACTCATACATTTATGTGTCTCTCATTTGTTTAAAAAACAGCATTCGTATATTTATGTGTCTCACATTTGTTTAACAAACAGCACGCATACTTTTATGTATCTCTCATTTGCTTAACAAACAACACTCATACATTAATGTGTCTCTCATTTGCTTAACAAACAGCACTCATACATTTATGTATCTCTCATTGGCTTAACAAACAGCACTCGTACATTAATGTGTCTCTCATTTATTTAACAAACAGCACTCATACATTTATGTATCTCTCATTTGCTTAACAAACAGCACTCGTACATTAATGTGTGTCTCATTTGTTTAACAAACAGCACTCATACATTTATGTATCTCTCATTTGTTTAACAAACAGCACTCATACATTAATGTGTGTCTCATTTGTTTAACAAACAGCACTCATACATTTATGTATCTCTCATTTGTTTAACAAACAGCACTCATACATTTATGTATCTCTCATTTGTTTAAAAAACACTATCCAACACTACAGCATTATGGTAGAACACGTCAGAAACTATCCTCTATATATTGCAGAAAGAAACCAATTCATTGCTAGAAACAATGTATGCCAATCTACTTTGCAAATTAACTGGATTAAAAACCTGTCCATTTTTCTATATTGAATAAAATGAAATAGAGGTAAAATTGCTTGAATTTCAGGCACAACTGCGGAATAACTGAATTGAAAATTAAGAGAGTATTTCTAGCCGAGACTGTGTATTAGCTTGACTTTTCCCTTCAGACAGAACATTTTAAATTGCTAGTATTAGGACTGAATAGTGTCATAAATGCCACTTTTTAAAACTGTTTTCACTTAACCTTTGTTAATTGAGTGAATTTGTTTAAAGAGTTGAATTTCCATTGTCATAATATCATTATTTTTGTAACGTCTTTCTCTGTCCATTGGTTATATAAGATTCCCATATTTATATTAAAATAATAGTTTTAAACAAATTTTTTTTACAAAGGGCAATTTTAATGCAGATTTTATTTTTTACAGCAGCATTTTTATTTTTGTACATACCTTTGGCAACCAAAAATGTATCTTTATTTAGTAGAAATTTGTTTTGACACATTTATTTAGATTAAGTTAGATTTATTAGAAAAAGAAACTGCCATTGGAACAAAGTTGTTCTAATGATATTGCTGATTTTTACAAGGCAACATATACAAAATTTACTTATTATAATAGAATTGGTCTAAATTGTATTATTTGTTAATCTGTATAAGTAACCCTAAAGAAATTTGTGAACTTTTTATCATTCAGTGCTTTGTAATGACAAACGCTGAAAACTGTGTATTGAGTTTTGAGAACTTTGTACCAATTTTTGAATGCTATATACCAACCTTAGAAATCAATGCACCCAGCATGTTTCAAAAGTTCATTAGATGTTACACAATGGGGTTCCTGTGGACATTGGTTTTAATTATGCTTTTTTTGGGGGGGAGGATAAACTGGTTTAAGTGAGGGTTGACTGTGGTCATTTTGAAGAAAAGAAACCTTAACTTTATTGACCTTTCTTCCTGTTGTAGTTTTTGCATTGCACAGCACATATTTTAGTGTCTGTTTTTCACCTACTGATAGTTTTAACAAATACAGTTTTTTTATAGAAAGAAAAGTAAATATACACTGTGTCTGGCCAAAAAAAAAATTGGGGGCCCTTACATGCTTACCCTAAATTATGAACGGTCCCTGATTTGTTAGAATTAAATTTTGGAATTTTAAAAAATTGATAAATATTAACCATCATTATAAAAAGAGAGTCATCCCCCCCCCCCTCTCTAACCCTAACCCGAAAGTGTATATGAAGGATATATAGGACAGTAAGTATATTTAGGCAATGGTTACACATATCAGTCTTTTATATTGACATTATGAAGTTTAAAATACCGTAAAAATAACCATTTGTGTTTAAGATAAGGTGTGTTTTTCAAGACAAGACTTTAGGATTTGTATGTTATATTTGTAAACTAGAACTTTTGTTTCCTCTATTTGACGTCCTCTTGTGTTTAATGACCCGAGTACTGACCCAAGCATTGATCCACTAGTGACTAGAGTATTACTCTGAGTAAGTGTCAGACAAGTATGTGTCAGATTTTTGCTCAAATGTTTGCCCAGGTGTTTAACTAACCGTATTTTTAAAAAAATGATTTCTCCTCTTTACTAAATCTGTAAACTAAATAAATGGCTTTCATTCCACTTTATATACTTGTATTTATTATTTTCATAACGGTCCCTTTAACAAAAGTTTTTTAAGCTGTGCAAAGAAACATAAATACTTAAGAGGAAAACTTAATTTCTCCAATTTTTGTTATGATGAAATAATAGGTTTGATTAAAAATTAAAAATAACAGAGCATTGAATGAGAATAATAACATTTTTAATGGTGTCATGATTCAGATTAGTCAACCACCTTAAACCAATCATTCACGAAATACCTTACACCAACCATTCACGAAACATAAGCAGACAGAATGTGATCGGATGAAACTATTGGTTCAATTAACATTTTACCCAAACAAAATATTTTAGTTAGATTTAGATATATAGAGAAAAAAAATGAATAGAAATTAACAAGCAACCTCAGGGAACTCTTTGGGTGGGGTGAGATGTGGTACACGTTCAACCTACAAAATGGAGCAAACATTGATCGATTTTACTGGCCTTTAAGTCTTAACCTTTGAACTAATCAAGATGTATTCTTTCTTTAAGATATTTTTTTTTTTTTACAAATCTATCCTTCAAAAAAGACCCAAAAATCTTTAATTTTAATTATATTTTCATTGAAAATTAATCCCAAGTAACACAAGTACTCCTTAACTAAGTGGACATGACACCAGAATAGCTTTTAATGAAGGATTACAATACAGAAATGAATTACTTTTAAAGATTTGTGTTTCTTTATAAAATGTTGAGATTGAAGAGTACAGAAGTTGGGTCAGATTGATGTTCGGTCAATTGAGCAATTCTTTTTCGTGGCCTCATTGGATATGACCCAATTCACAGACTCCATGAGAGAAATAGCCTTTTAAATAATCAACTTAAATATTGCTGACCCGAGACGGAATACATTTTATCCTCTTTTTTTCCCCCACATAAATTGTTATGCAGAACTCAAAACTGTTTGAACAAGCAATGAAGTAATGATATCATCATACACATTTTGATTTAAATTTGGTAGTTAACATTTGGTAGTTAAACTGTAATAATAAAAATTCAACTCAATGTAATGAAACAAATGATAGACATGACCTAATAAAACATTATAGTAGACATAACTAAAGCTCTCAGTGTTAAGTCTATCGTACACATACTTTAGGTTGACACTTATATATTGCATTGACATGTATGTGGGCCAATGAGTAGGAACAGTGCCATATTCTTCTATTCAGCAGGTCCCAGTGGAGGAAATAAAATAGGTAACTCCACAAAATTGCAACTTTTAACACTAAACTTGCAAATTTTAACAGATACTCTCAACTTTTAACACCATGCTTGCAACTTAAAAAACAGACCTGACAATGTTTACAACTGTAGTTTTAAATATATTAATATATTATTTTAAAATAATTAATTTGAAGAAAAATGAAATCTTCACAACACAAGACAAAGAAGTTTTCTCTCAAAAATTAAGTTACGACACATATTGCACATGTCAACAAATCCTAGGGTAATGCATCAATGAGAAGATATAATAACATTTGTACATGACATAGAATAGAATAGAGGAAATATCAAATGAAATCCTTATGTGAAGTGGAATGCATTGGTTACATAGCATAAATATACAGGAGAGATTGGTCAGAAACATCGTTCTTGTCTGTTACATCAAACACATTCACTCTATTTCTCTAATAAAAATAAGAATCTTTTAGGATAATGTTTGCATTGAAAATATTCAGTAAAATTAATAGTGAGATTAAATATGCTGTGTGCCTCTTCGTGACAAAATGTAATGAAATATATAATGACATATGTAAAACTATAGAAACCATAATATTCTTCATTAAAATTAAAGTGAAGCAACAGTGAGTATTTGCTCTGTCTCTATAGCCTGACAGCTGTTCTAGGTATGTCTTCTTGAGAGATACAAAATGAACCACAATTTATTTCCGATTGCTAATGTTAATTTATTTAACAAGCTAATGGAAGTCATGTCACGCGCCGACATCAGCATTAAAAGTCATCGAGGTATTTGTAGGTGGATGCATATTATTCATTTTTTGTAATATAGCTCAGATGAAATGGAGGAGAAATGCAAATTGTGCATAATTTTGCCTAGTGATCATGATAAGAAGTAAAAAATACATGTATTTACAAATTATGGGCAAACGTTTTGAAAAAAAAAAAAAACTCATTCCTTATTCTCTTTCTTAAAAGTATGATGTCAAAATGTTCATGATGGGGATATACAACATATGCTGAGGGGCTAAGTGATTGGACTATGTAAATGTTCAGCTTTTACTAGAACGAGGACTGAATATGAGGTTGCAATGCTGCTGCTGGTGGAGCAGAAATGTTCATTGATGTGTTCATGATGGAGACGTACAACATATGCTGAGGGGCTAAGTGATTGGACTATGTAAATGTTCAGCTTTTACTAGAACAAGGACTGAATCTGAGGTTGCAATGCTACTGCTGGTGGGGCGGAAATGTTCATTGATGTGTTCATGATGGTACAACATATGCTGAGGGGCTAAGTGATTGCACTATATAAATGTTCAGCTTTTACTAGAACGAGGACTGAATCTGAGGTTGGAATGCTACTGCTGGTAGGGGCAGGTTTGACGGGTGCATCAAGATATTCATGATGAGTGAGTTATTCCACGCTACAGCATCCTTATAAAACTTTCTTTGATTTCATTAAATGTTGCACAGCTGGTATAAACAAGTATGAGTGTTGAGACAGAAACATTCATCATGAATTTATCCCCCCAAAATTTTTTGTTAAATAACTGATTTACTACAAATTTCAGAGTAAAAAATATCCAACCCCCTAATGACAGTCATTAAACTATGTTGTCTGCTCGATAACTCTTTACAACCCAGCTACTACACATCCACAACTGATTGGAAGGGACAGCTTATTGATATTCTTTGGTGGACAAATCTTATAGAAGATGCTGTTATCTGGATGGTGTACTACAAGAATTGGGACCAGCCCTGCTTCAAATGTAAGCTCAAATTTGACACACTTATTTGTACCTATTTCATTTTGCAATATACAAATTTCATTGTAGAGGACCTCTGAGAAAAAAAATAAAGGTTAAAATACAAGGCATAGACACTAAAAAAAATATGTCGATAACATGAGACTCTTGTAGCAGACTGAAATATCAATTACATGGTTGTCCCCCTGTCACCTACTTTAATAACTCGTCCATAAGCAAAACTCCTTAATTTTGGACTGGGAAAAGTCTGCAAAGTCTAACAGGCTCATAAGCTGACCCCATAAAATAATATCTCAGTAGAAGCAAAATTGTAAAAAAATAATTTTCCTTTTTTTTTAAAATCCAAAATTTTAAAATTATTGAGTCTGTAAAAAGACTTGCAGTTTAAACTAATAAACATAAAGTATTGTGTATAACCCAGACACTCCCTTCGCATGTTTACGGAAACATACTGCCATACTGAATATTTCCGAAAAATAGGACCTTGCCATCGATTATTGTCCAATGTATTTACTTTCATAGCCAATCACTGCGATTGCAAAGTGAGGACAAAATATTTGACCGAATTTTGCACAATGCCAATTTTTTGCAGCTCATAGCTGACTGCCATCAATTACTCTTTTCTACATTTTTTTCTCCTTAATAGGATCAATGACCCTGGAGTAAATTATACAAATCTCCTAAGACCTGCTCATAAACTGACATTCCCTATTATCCCCCACAAAATATTTTCAAAAATCGGCTTATGAACGGTTGTATATGGTAATTAACAATTCAGTTTTGTGACCTGATATTTTGGTGATTAAATAATTCCTCTCTTTCCTATGTAAATTTACATGAGTAAATAAGGATTCGTTCTAAATCAGTTCCAATCAGTTCCACACTTTCACATCTCAACAACATTTTAAACATATTAAAATAATTTGGCAAAAAAAAATAAAAAATTATAATTCATTACATCATCCATTTATAAATAATATCGAAATAAATTAGTGCTTGATTTGTGCCTTTGAAAACTTGTTAAAAAATTAAATCAACAAGAGAAATTTATGGCCCCAATATTTTAACATTTTTTACTCCTTTTGGTCCGACAAATGTCCTTGAATTTCCCGACATTACTTTGGGCAGCTTCACGATAATTCCGGAAACAGTTCTTGTACAACAACGTCCAACAGCACATAGCTCAGCTGCAAACAAAGATCAAGGGGAAGAAAGTAAGAGATCACTTGTCAGTCAGACACGAAAAGTGAAATGTGTTTCATGATGCAATACCGATACAAACTTGTAGAATTTAAGTGGCAAGAACAAAGATCTAAAAATATACTTGGTGACATCTGTAGGGGCCATCTTAAATTTATTGACACATTTATTTTTGTTGAATAAATTATGTACAAGGGATGATTTAGGGAAAAATCTGGTTGGTGTTGACAAGTTTTCAGCATACGTTTATGTATTCTCAGTCCTAATGCAAACATGACCTCATATCCAACAACTCAAATTATGGTATTTAACATGAAGATACTACATACGCACTACTTAAATAGGTAACAATATTGCACCACATACAAGACTCAACATATGTAACGTGATGACATTTTAAGCATAGTGAATCTACAAAATACACATGACACTAAATATGCATCGTAGGGCAACTACATACATAAAACTACATACACAACATGACATACCAAGCACAACATGATACAACATGTTTAACAAGACAGCCCAACACACATAAAAAAAACAATATATGCATGATGATACTTCATATGCAGAGGACAAACTACATACATAACTTGAGGACACCACATATGCAGCATGACACTAACTACGCCACATGATGACATTATAGTATATAACATGAGAACACTACATACACAGCAAGACAAACATCATGACTCTACATGCTGACAATGAAACCTGTTAAATTAAAAGTCAAAGGTCAACTTGTTCAATGAAACATTTACCTGCTTGTTGAGTTTGGGCTGTTGAAATATTTGAAGAAGAAGTTCACATCCTTCCTTTGTTTTGGAGACGCTTAATGCTGAAGTCAGGGGCGCTGTTGCAAGCATAAACAAAAATAATGTATGTGTCAACTGAGAGAAAATAATATATATGCAAATTGAGAGAAAATAATGTATGTAAAATTGAGAGAAAATAATATGTGTAAATTGAGAGACAATAATATATGTGTAAATTTAGAGAAAATAATATATGTGTAAATTGAGAGAAAATAATATATTGTAAATTGAGAGAAAATATCATATTTCTAAACTGAGAGAAATAAATTGTGTAAAAGGAAAGAATACAAAGTAAGGAGAGAAAAAGTTTAAAAAATAGAAACATAATATCATGAAACATCACTTGTTCATTGTGGAAGGAGAAAGGGTTAAAATATTGAGTTTAAAAATGTGTATTAAATTTGGAGAACAATGTTGCGCTTTATAATAATAATTAGTAATTAGTATCACCAAAAAAAGATGAAATCTTGTAGAAGAGATACAAAAATTTCCTTTCTTTCCATATATATTTTATCTATTTCTGACATGCATACAGAAATGTAAAATTTCCTTGTGATCAATTTTAAGCTTATAATAGGAAGAACATTTTATTTTTTATAGAATACTCTGTATTTTCTAATTTTCAATGAATGAAAAAAAAAATTGTTATTCAATAATTTTAACAATGTGAAATTTCCATATATTTATTCGCATAATTTTTAAGACTTTCCTATTTCCTAACAAATTCCATATACCTAATGACAGAACATATATGTTTTTTACAAAAGATATGTGTATGTGAATATAACAGACCTGTTTACCCTCAAACCCTTAAAATCGTACAATATCATCATATAATCATTCAATACATTCTCTTTATAGAGCAAAAACGTGCTGTATATATAATGTATACACCTCAAAATCGTACATTGTATGCCAAAATCGTAAGAGTAAACAGGTCTGATATAAGAAACTCAAATTATGTCACAGTGCAGCAATGTGCTCAAAAGCCTCATACCTGCACGTGATGGAACTAAAAGCCATGCATAAAATAACGGGCACAACTTACATGGGATGAAATCTATTAATTCTTTGAGAGCCTTCTCATATCTTTTCCTTTTGTCCTCATCAGTTCTAGAGAATAAAAATGTGTCACATGTCATATTCCAACACCCAGGATGTCTCACATGTCATATTCCAAAATCTAAGATGTGTTACATGTCATATTCCAACATCTAAGATGTGTCACATGTCATATGCCCTATTCCAACACCAAAAAATTACAGGTGATAAACGTTTTTGAAAAGAAATTCACTTACATCAATTACAAGTGGTAGGTAATACAGTGAAAGCAAATAAAATATGAAGTCTGAATAAGTGATATGAAAAATGGTAATTTCTTTTTTTTAATCACTGAATGGCATTTTCTTTTACATTTAGAAGAATACACACAAAAAAGTCTAGCCCCTTTTTGTGGATCTGAACTATTAATAGCAAACATATCTATGATAGGTGCCAGAATGATCAATATATTGATTGTGGGTCCTAAAAAAATATAGAAGAAGATGATGATGAATAGACTTATAAATTTGATTTCAAAGAAGATTACATCAATGACCTGTGTCAGTACATGAATGACCTGTGTCAGTACATGAATGATCTGTGTCAGGACATGACACATAAAAATGCACCATGAGATTAAGTTGTCAGCCATATTTCACCATACTATGATTTTTTGGAAAGTTTGCTAACAAGTGACCTTGCAAAAAGTTGAACCATACACACAATTAATACTCAAGTCAAGTTGTATAGATCAGAGTTTATATTAGACTCAAGTTTAGTTGTATAGATCAGAGTGTATGAGATACAAGTCAAGTTGTATAGATCAGAGGGTGTGTGAGGAGACTCAATTCAAGTTGTATAGATCAGAGGGTGTATGTGTATGAGATTCAATTCACGTTGTATAGATCAGAGGGTGTATGAGACTCAATTCACGTTGTATAGATCAGAGGGTGTGTGAGACTCAATTCACGTTGTATAGATCAGAGGGTGTATGAGACTCAATTCAAGTTGTATAGATCAGAGGGTGTGTGAGACTCAATTCAAGTTGTATAGATCAGAGGGTGTATGAGACTCAATTCAAGTTGTATAGATCAGAGGGTGTGTGAGACTCAATTCAAGTTGTATAGATCAGAGGGTGTATGAGACTCAATTCAAGTTGTATAGATCAGAGGGTGTGTGAGACTCAATTCAAGTTGTATAGATCAGAGGGTGTATGAGACTCAATTCAAGTTGTATAGATCAGAGGGTGTGTGAGACTCAATTCAAGTTGTATAGATCAGAGGGTGTATGAGACTCAATTCAAGTTGTATAGATCAGAGGGTGTGTGAGACTCAATTCAAGTTGTATAGATCAGAGGGTGTATGAGACTCAATTCAAGTTGTATAGATCAGAGGGTGTGTGAGACTCAATTCAAGTTGTATAGATCAGAGGGTGTATGAGACTCAATTCAAGTTGTATAGATCAGAGGGTGTGTGAGACTCAATTCAAGTTGTATAGATCAGAGGGTGTATGAGACTCAATTCAAGTTGTATAGATCAGAGGGTGTGTGAGACTCAATTCAAGTTGTATAGATCAGAGGGTGTATGAGACTCAATTCAAGTTGTATAGATCAGAGGGTGTGTGAGACTCAATTCAAGTTGTATAGATCAGAGGGTGTATGAGACTCAATTCAAGTTGTATAGATCAGAGGGTGTGTGAGACTCAATTCAAGTTGTATAGATCAGAGGGTGTATGAGACTCAATTCAAGTTGTATAGATCAGAGGGTGTGTGAGACTCAATTCAAGTTGTATAGATCAGAGGGTGTATGAGACTCAATTCAAGTTGTATAGATCAGAGGGTGTGTGAGACTCAATTCAAGTTGTATAGATCAGAGGGTGTATGAGACTCAATTCAAGTTGTATAGATCAGAGTTTATATGAGACTCAAGTCAAGTTGTATAGATCAGAGGGTGTATGAGACTCAATTCAAGTTGTATAGATCAGAGGGTGTGTGAGACTCAATTCAAGTTGTATAGATCAGAGGGTGTGTGAGACTCAATTCAAGTTGTATAGATCAGAGGGTGTATGAGACTCAAGTCAAGTTGTATAGATCAGAGTTTATATGAGACTCAAGTCAAGTTGTATAGATCAGAGGGTGTATGAGACTCAAGTCAAGTTGTATAATCAGAGTTTATATGAGAATCAAGTCAAGTTGTATAGATCAGAGGGTGTATGAGACTCAAGTCAAGTTGTATAGATCAGAGGGTGTATGAGACTCAAGTCAAGTTGTATAGATCAGAGGGTGTATGAGACTCAAGTCAAGTTGTATAGATCAGAGGGTGTATGAGACTCAATTCACGTTGTATAGATCAGAGGGTGTATGAGACTCAATTCACGTTGTATAGATCAGAGGGTGTGTGAGACTCAATTCAAGTTGTATAGATCAGAGTTTATATGAGACTCAAGTCAAGTTGTATAGATCAGAGGGTGTATGAGACTCAATTCACGTTGTATAGATCAGAGGGTGTGTGAGACTCAATTCACGTTGTATAGATCAGAGTTTATATGAGACTCAAGTCAAGTTGTATAGATCAGAGTTTATATGAGACTCAAGTCAAGTTGTATAGATCAGAGGGTGTATGTGTATGAGATTCAATTCACGTTGTATAGATCAGAGGGTGTATGAGACTCAATTCACGTTGTATAGATCAGAGGGTGTGTGAGACTCAATTCACGTTGTATAGATCAGAGGGTGTATGAGACTCAATTCAAGTTGTATAGATCAGAGGGTGTATGAGACTCAAGTCAAGTTGTATAGATCAGAGTTTATATGAGACTCAAGTCAAGTTGTATAGATCAGAGGGTGTATGAGACTCAATTCAAGTTGTATAGATCAGAGGGTGTGTGAGACTCAATTCAAGTTGTATAGATCAGAGGGTGTATGAGACTCAAGTCAAGTTGTATAGATCAGAGTTTATATGAGACTCAAGTCAAGTTGTATAGATCAGAGGGTGTATTAGACTCAAGTCAAGTTGTATAATCAGAGTTTATATGAGACTCAAGTCAAGTTGTATAGATCAGAGGGTGTATGAGACTCAAGTTAAGTTGTATAGATCAGAGGGTGTATGAGACTCAAGTCAAGTTGTATAGATCAGAGGGTGTATGAGACTCAATTCACGTTGTATAGATCAGAGGGTGTATGAGACTCAATTCACGTTGTATAGATCAGAGGGTGTGTGAGACTCAATTCAAGTTGTATAGATCAGAGTTTATATGAGACTCAAGTCAAGTTGTATAGATCAGAGGGTGTATGAGACTCAATTCACGTTGTATAGATCAGAGGGTGTGTGAGACTCAATTCACGTTGTATAGATCAGAGGGTGTATGAGACTCAATTCACGTTGTATAGATCAGAGGGTGTGTGAGACTCAATTCAAGTTGTATAGATCAGAGGGTGTATGAGACTCAAGTCAAGTTGTATAGATCAGAGGGTGTATGAGACTCAATTCAAGTTGTTTAGATCAGAGTTTATATGAGACTCAAGTCAAGTTGTATAAATCGGAGGGTGTGTGAGACTCAATTCACGTTGTATAGATCAGAGGGTGTGTGAGACTCAATTCAAGTTGTATAGATTAGAGGGTGTATGAGACTTTGGTCAAGTTGTATAGATGTGAGACTTGGAACTTATCACAGATATGATGAGCCAAAAACACAATATATCACTGATTGAATTTTGATGAATAGTTAAACCAGACAACTGCAACTGCCCCATTAGATAATAAGCACATCAAGTAATTCTTTTCTGTTTTCTCTAATAGAGAAGTAGTGCATTTATTAGAGAAGAGGTATTTCATCTCTTACCTGGGTGGATCTTCATCAAAGAAAAGTATATCTGTAAATGGAGAGCAAATGAATTTAAGACGATGCTAGCATCAGAACTAGCATCAGAACTAGCATCAGAACTAGCATCAGAACTAGCATCAGAACTAGCATCAGAACTAGCATCAGAACATTATTTTACTTTTTTTTTTTTTCTCTTCTTAAAACAAAAAGGGGGTGGGAGCGGAATTTTACATAATTTTTCTTTATTTAGTTTCCCATGATGAGATTATCCCAGTATTTTGTGTCCAAGAGCCAATAATTTTACTTTATTTAGTTTCCCATGATGAGATTATCCCAGTATTTTGTGTCCAAGAGCCAATAATTTTACTTTATTTAGTTTCCCATGATGAGATTATCCCAGTATTTTGTGTCCAAGAGCCAATAATTTTTCTTTATTTAGTTTCCCATGATGAGATTATCCCAGTATTTTGTGTCCAAGAGCCAATAATTTTTCTTTATTTAGTTTCCCATGATGAGATTATCCCAGTATTTTGTGTCCAAGAGCCAATAATTTTTCTTTATTTAGTTTCCCATGATGAGATTATCCCAGTATTTTGTGTCCAAGAGCCATACATTTTTCTTTATTTAGTTTCCCATGATGAGATTATCCCAGTATTTTGTGTCCAAGAGCCAATAATTTTTCTTTATTTAGTTTCCCATGATGAGATTATCCCAGTATTTTGTGTCCAAGAGCCATACATTTTATTATTATTATTGTTTATTATTACAGTGGTCTTCTATAGCACTGTACCCAAGCTTAGGGCTCACCGCGCTGCACATGAAAATATTAGCCAACACAATCATGACATTAAAAAAATTACATACATTTATGTAATATAAAAAACAGCTGTATAACAACAAAACAAAACAAATATAAATATCATACTGGCTGCTGACCCTTTCAATACTGGCTGCTCTCCCCTTCATGGGATTGGCGGTTAAACATAGAAATCAATATTCAACTATAATTTAACAATAATAAAAAGTAACGTATGTAACGTAATGAGGAAATATGGATGCTCAGTTAAGCGTTAACGCAATGTGCTGATGGCCTCACCTCTCAACAAATGAATCAAACTAACTAGTCGATGCTCTTGTGTGACCTGAGCCAGCTTGTAATCTATGTGGTAGTCCAGGTAGTTCTCCACCGTCTCCTTCAGCAGTATCCTGGCAGAGAGCGTCAGCTGCTGGAACCACCGGGGGGCCTTGAACACTTCCCTGACTGTTGTTGTAAGCAGGCAAGGAAATACAAGAAAAAATTATGTCCACATCATGATATATGTGCCTAGACATGACCAATTTTAAAACATTAAATCAAACTATTTGGTGTGGAAGGGTAGCTAGATCGTTTATATATATTTATTATTATTATCATTGTTGAATGCAGAGTTTTCCTTCCCTTAGATGAGTTGCCATCCAAGGTTAACGAGTCCCATTCTACCTGGGATGCTGGGGTGTTTTTGCTTTTTTAGGCTTTTGCTGGGGATTGAACTCCAGTCCACAAGCTTGGGACTGACTCAGTTTAGACCAATTCGGCCACAGATGTAATCAAAGCAACAAGGGGAGAGGGTTGGTACAAGGGAATTTTTCCTTGCTTATAATATTTAAATGAGCCCATAAGTTTTAATGTCATAACTCGGCTGAGTGACACCCTGAAGGCTTTCAGCACGTGAGTTAAATGACGGAACGTACATATAATTTTTTTTAACACTAAATTAAAACTTTTCTAAAGCCATGAAAGTGAAGTACCTTGGAACTGATCAACTTACTTAAGAACACAAGATAATCAAAGGCGCCTTCAAGGTCCTTGACATAGTGAGTTAGATCTTTTTTTGAAGACGGTGGGTTGAAGCCAAAGTTCATGTTGTTATCAAAGTGAGTGCCTGCAAGCTGCAAGTAAAAAAAACACAGACATAGGCGTACAATGAAGAAAGTCATCATGCGTTTATTAAACATATATATATATTCTTACATTCAAACGTGTGATTTGCACATGGTGAGACTTCGTAGAAAATATACATATGACATGCAATTTTTTTTTTTAAATCCGACTTGTGTAGGTTAGCATTACTTTTTGCAAATTGCTTTGTTTTTTTGGTTTGTAATAATACAAAATGAAAAGGTTTCACATTTAACTTTTTTTAACCACTCACTTTTTCACTTGAAGTTGACAACAAGGAAGTCTCCGATCCTCGCCTTGATAATTTACTGTCAAATAATAAATACAATTTTTAAAATATGTTATCAACTTGTAGAAAAAAAATTACTTGGTAACACTTGCCAATGATAAGAACAAGGTTGTTATCTCTTGGCCATGATGAGAACGAGACCGAATCAGATCGTTTCACTCACCCATGTCTACAACAAGATGGCTTCAGTTAGAAACAAAAAAGCTTACTTTGATCGTGGTTTAGGGGCTTCTGTTGAAAACGCAAAATTCACCAAAAATTCATCCAAGTGCTGTCCTTTCTGATGATAAATAAATGTTATAAGCCATTGCTTGGGGTCTGGGAGAGTGAGTCAAACATAATTAGACATTGGTGCATACAAGACTCATCATAACACTGACTATATTATAAGCCATTGCTTGGGGTCTGGGAGAGTTAGTCAAACATAATAAGACAATGGTGCACACAAGACTAATCATAACACTGACTATATTATAAGCCATTGCTTGGGGTCTGGGAGAGTTAGTCAAACATAATAAGACATTGGTGCACACAAGACTAATCATAACACTGACTATATTATAAGCCATTGCTTGGGGTCTGGGAGAGTTAGTCAAACATAATAAGACATTGGTGCACACAAGACTAATCATAACACTGACTATATTATAAGCCATTGGGCACAGATCACAATGAAAAGACAATGATCTGTACTCACCTCTTTTACTAGTTTTGTCTTTACAAATTTTCCTGGAAGGAAATTACAAAAAGATAAATTGTATAAATTCATCAATTTCATGTTAAGCAATAAAGGTAATCAACAATCTACCTCAGCTCCCCCCACAAATGCAATAGAAGAAATGGGATACAAGAAAGTTAAGGTCAAAAATGCTAGTTCACATTATACGGGCATCCGCGTGTAAGCAATATTTCATTCACCAATGCATAATACTTGTGACCATGCAACCAATTCTACCTGACCCACTTGCATTCAGTGACCAAGCGCTGATTACATGTGCCCATAAAGAAAGTAATGTAAGTAGCGACCTCTTGTTGGGAGCGTTGCTTGACCCGTATTGGTATGACCACAGTTCACTTTAAATTTTTAAATAAATATTTTTTTCGATATTTTGTTTGTATTATTAATAATGTTATGGAACAACAATAACAGATGCATTAGGCGGCATTAGGGATTTTTTCAAACAAAAGATTATATGTGGATTCTGCATTTTAGGGCTTTTTTCAAACAAAAGATTATATGTGGATTCTGCATTTTAGAGCTTTTTTCAAACAAAAGATTATATGTGGATTCTGCATTTTAGGGCTTTTTTCAAACAAAAGATTATATGTGGATTCTGCATTTTAGGGCTTTTTTCAAACAAAAGATTATAAGTGGGTCGTGACATAAATGCCACACACATAAGATAATTTTTTTGAGAAGGTCAAAGGATCAGGGAGAAAATGTATCTCTTCAGTTGAAGACATTTAGCCGTTAAACGAATGGAGTTAAAGAAGTTGATTTATTTTCTGATAGCAGAAGTCCGACTTCAGGTTTGTTAGCACAGGATGTTGTCAACAGAGTTCCGAGCGTTATGTAGAGGATTAGTTTAGGAAGGTGCCATGAAGCAATGGGCAAAGATTAATTAAAGTTTTTTAAAATTTTGTTAGGCCGAGGGAGGCGGAGAGTGAGTTTGGAACTTGTAAATACAATGTTTTGAGAGCATGAGGCAAAGTTTTCTACAGTGAATATCTTTTTTTGTGAGAGCCAAATCTGAAAATATTTCACTTCAAAATTTGTATAAAAGTGAAAAAACTTTAATCATGTTGTAAGGCATGCATTTATTTTTTACAGCCATATTCATCACATTAAAATTGTGTTTTTCTGATGCTTGAGCATTGATCATATTGTGAGGGGCAGGATTCTCAGAAGTCAACGCGGCCAGAGTCAATGGGCAGGCCACGGATAATGCAGGCTGAAAGGAAAGCCAAGGTCACCTACCCAATTTAATACCCGGCAAAAAACTTGTGGAGAATTCATGTTCTGTGGTCAGGAATTGATACAACAATTCACTGTTTCTCAGCTGTGGTTTAGTCAGAAGTTTCTGAGGCAAAGAAAAGACTTGTCAACATGACTGGTTGTACACATTAACAAGACTAGTTTTAAATATGGCTAGGTATCAACATGATTTAAGTTTAAACAGGTTTAAGTGTCAACATGACTGGTTGTACACATTAACAAGACTAGTTTAAAAATGACTAGTTTTACTTATCAACATCAGTTTTATTTATCAAACATTAGTTGTACTTTACATGACTAGATATACTTTTCAGAATGACTAGTTACTTTTTAACATGGCTTGTTACTTTTTTTTTTAATATGACTAGTTTTCACAACAATATTTAAACTTGCCTCTACATTTGAAAGTTATTAATCTTACAAAAGAAAAGTAAAATCTTTATATTTACTGGTTAATTATAAAATTTTAAAAAATTTACATCATTGATTTCATATTTTTCACTGAACTCTCCCTTTTCTTTTCATGATATAGAAAACATTTTTTTTTAAAGGGTATGTATATATAGATCAGAAGCTCACCTGAAGATAATTTTCAAAATCTGCTTTTTTGCTTTCAGTAAAATCTTGCTTTTTTGTGCCAAAGGATTTTTTGGCAGGAAGCTGGCATTCAGTAAGCTCCCCTGTAAATAAGATCATAAGGTGGACATGTATCTATGTTCAGAGAATGTTTGGCAAAATATTATAGAGCCGAAAGAAAAAAAACAAAACAATTAGAAAATGGAAGGGGGTCAAGGAGGCTGTCATTTCCTTTACCTTACACTTAAATGATATAGCATAGACAGCTTAACTTACATTTAAGTAATATTATATAGACAGCTTAACTTACATTTAAGTAATATTATATAGACAGCTTAACTTACATTTAAGTAATATTATATAGTTTAATATAGACAACTTAACTTACATTTAAGTAATATTATATAGACAACTAAACTTACATTTAAGTAATATTATCTAGACAGCTTAACTTACATTTAAGTAATATTATATAGACAGCTTAACTTACATTTAAGTAATATTATCTAGACAGCTTAAACTACATTTAAGTAATATTATCTAGACAGCTTAACCTACATTTCAGTAATATTATATAGACAGCTTAACCTACGTTTAAGTAATATTATCTAGACAGCTTAACCTAGATTTCAGTAATATTATATAGACAGCTTAACCTACATTTGAGTAATATTATATAGACAGCTTAACCTACATTTAAGTAATATTATATAGACAGCTTAACCTACATTTGAGTAGTATTATATAGACAGCTTAATCTACGTTTAAGTAATATTATATAGACAGCTTTACTTACATTTAAGTAATATTATAACTACCAAAGAATAAAGAAATATTTTAGAGACCTTTGCCAAGAAATTAAGTAATCTTTAGAAGGAATTTACCATGAAATTCTGTTAATTTTTGTTCCAATACATAGAACTCGGGATACCTCCTGAAAGCAAAAGAACAACTGCTATGAACATCAACAGCCAAAAGTTCTAAAACATTTTCAAATTAAATCATACACCATATATACTCGCAAGTAGATCACACCAGTGGAGACGCCGCACCCTTAGTTTCGGGTTGTCAAAGCGAGTATTTGTGGTTGACTCACAGAAAGGTCCCAATATCATGAACATTTTCCACAGAAGTGTCTTAATAAGAGTTTGGCGTAGTGTTTCCTTTTTCAGGTGAGGGGGCCTGATCTGTGTAGACTAAAAATTGGATCTACTGATACACCGCCGTGCACGTCAGAACCCTGTAATGTCAGGAGATAGGTCGCATCCTTGATTTTTATTTGTTAAAAAAAAAAAAAGAAAAGAAAAAAAGTGCAACCTAATTGCGAGTATATGCCGTGTATAAATGATCAATTCCTCATTCAAGTCTCCGCACTCACCCGTTATGTCCTCTATTATCCTTAATTGGCTTTAAAGACATAGCTTTGACTTAATGCACTCACCTAGCCACTGTCCACTGTTGTTTTTTCTCTTCACCTGGTGGATGACAATCAAAATAAGGTTTAGGAAATATTTAACTGCTAATGCTTCTTTATCTCTTTTAGCAGCTTAAATAAGCTAATAACTTTTGTATGGAACTAATGTTGTCAAGAAATACATTTAATGAACAAATAAGCATAAAACCATATAATTTTTTTTTAAAGCATGTCTTCTTCTATATCTTAAGGGCCCACGATCAATTTATTGATCATTTTGGCTCCTATCATGTTTAATACAAATCATAATTTAAAGCACTTATTTTGATGGGAATAAAGATAGGAAATTATTTTAAGTCCTTCTGTTACCATAGATGTTTGTACTAGAGATTTTTATCTAAATAATAATTGAAATACCTTCTTCGACATCAAGTCTCCTTATATCTATTATAAACACAAAGTACTGTTTGCGGGGATTTTCTGGGTCAGGTCGTGCCCCGATACGGGGAATGGTGACCCTCCAGGAAGTCAAATCATGCAAGGATTGATCACAGTCAGCTATTGTATCAACGAGATCCTCCTCTATACTTATGGAAGGCTGAGAATATATAAGGGGAATGGTACTCAATGTGTCTTGACCTTATATTATTTCATTGTAGCGCTAAAGCGTCAACCACTTCTCTTCTTGTTTTGATATTGACATCACTAATTATATGTGTAGTGCTGTCCAAATCAAAACCCCTCCCTTGATGGGGAAAAGATTGTTTACATTTGAATATGTTCTGATTTGTTCTACAGAATGCTATCGGTTGATGCAAAATCAATAATTTATTTTAAAGAGGGTTCCAAATTTCTCCCTATAAATAAGTTGGCAGCTTTCCTAGCCATTTTTTAGACATTATATACTTGCAAGATAGTACTCTTTATGTGTGTATGAAAATTAATATTTGTATCTTTCGAGGATTGTACTTACTGAGCTATTTGATTTTGTATAATTTATATAAATTTAATAGTATAATTATGTTATGATTATTGTTAATATTACTAGCTTAGGCCTACTTTTCTCAAGTATACTGGTTTTCAGTCCTTTGTTACAAATTTTTCAACAAATGAGATTAACCTTAAAGCAGATTAAATTTACAAAAACCATAAAACGGTAGATGACATTAAATTTAATTTGGCATCAAGGCCTCGACATATTTAAGGAAAAAAAAATTGGGGTTAACAATGCCCCCCAAAAGCTTTTTAAGGGAGATAACAGAAATAAAACATAAGTTGAAACAGAAGACACCTGTAATAGAAATGAATGATGCTCACTCTTCAGTGTTCGTGTAACAACTGACTTTATTTTGACCTTCTACAACCTTTTTATACTTCTACATAAAAGATCACTCATTCCAGATTTCCACGCATTTACGTTCAAAAACTTTCATGAATAAAAACAACTCATGACGTCCAGTTATACTGTCACAACACCATGTTACTTACTGCCACTGAATTCAAAGAAATCCCCTCCACACCCGACTCAATGCTGTTGGCAAGTTTCTCATCTACAAAAAAGCGGAGCAAATAATAAGAAGAAGATAAAAGGTCGATAATGAACATGGTCATCTCATTAAATCAACGTGCGTGCCAAGTCTTCAGGTGTACAAATGCCCGCTTGGAATTAGTACACTTAAATCAAGAAAGTGTACAAACACCTAAATGCAACAGTGCAGCCCCCTGCCCCCCAACCCTTTAGAACCAGTACACTTAAATCAAGAAAGTGTACAAACACCTAAATGCAACAGTGCAGCCCCCGCCCCCCCCCCAAACCCTTTAGAACCAGTACACTTCAAACCACTCCTTGGAATTAGTACACTTAAACTAAGAATGTGTACAATCACCAAAGTCCAGAAAGTGAAGTAAAGGTACAATTGGGAACAACTTCAAAAATGTTACCCAAAAAATAGGCTAAATGGCACAGTTAAGTCAGAGCCAAGATCATGTACTGCACTGTGCATAGTTTACCTTATTTTACCTCCTGTGTATGTTACACATAACAGTCCATATTAAAAAAACTACCATGCCCAATAAAAAGCATGAATTAAAACAGTATATGTTCTCTAGAATAATTTACCTTATATTAAAAAAAAATTATAACTGGAACAGTAATAAGGTCAAATGATCTGAACTTAAGAATAAGTTATAGAGAAATCTCAAAGAAAATGTATATACTGTTGCTAAGTTTATAACATATTTATTAATACAACTAAAGAAAATTTTTGAAAATGAAAAAAACCCATCACAAAACCCACTAATATCCATAAATTGTATGATGATAGGAAAATAACATCCAACTAATTTCCATATATTGTATGATGACACGACCAATGTTCTTTGTTTACCTGATGACTTGAACACATCCTTGAGTTTATTGCCGAATTGGGCCAAGGTAAAATCTTTTTTTTTTACTTGCCTGTTTGATAAATAACAATGAAAAATATCAATGGCGATTTGGTTAATCCAGACAAATGGAAAAATGTGTAGAAAAAGACTAACAGCTGACCAGCTGCAGTTAATTCTTCGTTACCCAAGTAAGATGCGAAAGAAATACTAAAGACCCATGTAATTCGAGAATTCTAAACTAATGTATATTCTTGATTAAAGACCTTGATTTATTTACAATTGGTTTCAATGTTAACTATAACTAACTCTAACATTTGTTTATTGTTTTTATGTTAACTATAATTCAATCCAACCCCAACATTCAATCATTGTGTTAATGGTATATATAGAATTTATCTAGCCCATTGATTCATTGTTAACGATCGCAAATATTTTTTCCTGTATGCTTTTTCTTCACTATTAGTATAAAACATTAGCATAATAGTGTTTCGCAGAAAATGTTAAGTTAACTTCTTTAATTACTCAAAATTTTGAACTTTTCGAATAATTTAAAATTAAAAACTTCAACATGTTATAAAATTATAACAATAAAAAAATATCTGAAATGTTAGTCCAATCTTACATAAAGCTTTTCACTAGTGACAGGTAGAATCTGAATTGAATCAGGTAAAAAAATATGAAAGGATCACATTGAAGACTTTCACATTGGCAAGAGAATGTTCACAGATGTCACAGAAAAGCAATATTTACATTCAGGTGCACAAAAAAACTAGACTAGATTGTGTTAAAAAAAAAACATCCAATAAAATTAATTATGAGCCAATACTTGACGGACAGCAGACAACATAGTATAGTTGTATTTCACATTATTACCTGGTTTATATAACACATATGTATATTTTTTTTCTATAGCTTAAAAAAATATATATTATAAACATTGATCTGTAATCTGAACATTACACAGACCCCTGTTGTTTTTCTAAATCAGTAGGTTAATCTAATAATTAATCTCAATAACTGAGAATTTGACTATTTCTCCCCTTTTTAACACATAAAATGCATCTATAAGCGAACACAACATTTATATGATGGTGCCAACATAAAGAGCATAGATAAAAAGAACACAAGTAAATCTAGTTTATTTATAGAAACTTAATACAGCTACTTATTGTTTTCATTTAAATAAATCAACATGTTAACTATATTCTTATGACAAGAATATGGCCAAAAGTGTATTCTGTGTTAAAAATGTTATATGAATTTTTCCTTTGCCTCCTGTGATACCTTGTTAGTCTTAGTCTGCTAAGGGTTAACTTTAAAAAAAAAAAATTAATTTAAAAAAAAATGGTTAGTTGCTTCCTATTAAAGCCCCCAAAAATGTACATTTCTTACTGACAGTGTACACAGCACCCTACTGTGATTCAAGACAGATAGTATATACATGATGAGCTAGATAAGGTGTGCATCAAATAGATCTCTTGTAAAGGGCAACAAATTTTGGCAGTGGTTTACTCAAAATGAGGCATTTCTAAACTAACACCAAACATCTCATCAGAGCTTATAATTCTAAAGGTTAATGACATCTAGATTATTTCTTTTCGCAGAGATGATGTGTCTGTTAGGATAATGACATCTAGGTTAATATCTTTTATCAGAGATGATGTGTCTCTTAGGTTAATGACATCTAGATTAATTACCATTATCAGAGATGTTATGTCCATTAAGTTAATGACATCTAGATCTAGAAACTACAAGGCCCATAATGACAAATAAATGGGACACCATTCAATTATTTAAAGAAAGGTTAGAAACAGCCATGACAAAACAAGTCTTTCACAAAAAGATCCATTGTAGTACTGAAACTATTTGACTTACAGAAGCCCACTGCTTGTAGATGATAATGAACTTTTAAACAACAATTGTAGATCCCAACAGAGGTAACTGATATTAACACTCGTCGATGCTATCCACTATCTACGCTGCTAAAGTTTCTATGGTACTGAAAGTTCTTCCACAAATTGAGATGTTGTTTAATTGTCATTTTAATTTTTTTTTTAAATTGTGCTCTTAAGTTCATGGGACTGGTTAGTGGTTAAGCATTCTTGTCATATATATCATTAGCCGATACATGGCCGAGATTCGATCTAAAGACAGTTGAACATAAAACAAATTGTTCAGCTTATTCAAATTTTTTTTTGTTTTTGAAATTACTTCTAATAAGTTAAGTTCTCCAACCAACCTCCTGACAACCCCACTCCCCCCCCCCCCCCCACAAAACTCCCCAACCCTTATTGATTGTGAAGATGCCACATCATTTTATTTTTAAATAAGAAAGAGCTGATTCATGTAAATTTTGACTAAATTCTACCCACACCTTGGTCACTACGACAATGGAGCAATGGATATACAAAATACAACACCCACAAAAAAATGCTACAAGTGGAATGAGTTGAAACATTGATAAATAACACTAAAGAATTATCTCCATAAACTCTCTAACCAAATGAATGCAGAACATTACCTAAGGCTGTTATTTTTGCCACCAAAGAAACTTCAAGAAAAAGTTTTAAAAAACACATTAACTTTTTTTTGGCAAATAAAATTCAAGGCAAGGATTGTTAAGGAAAAATTTTTAAAAAGCATTGGGATAACATGAACTGGTTTCAATGTCACCGGCTCGCCCGACAGCTAGCCTAAAGTCATCTCAGGGGCACCTAAATTTGTCTTCAAGTTGTAAAAAGTTAAGAGCAGTTTGGTTTCAGTCATATGCCATTTAATATGCTAAATTTAACAAAAATTGTTAGCTTATATTCACTGTACACAATCATTAGTTTGTGTTCTTAGTTTTGCAGCATACACTATTCCAACTAGCACAAAGTTTAGTTCAGATTTTTAATTTTGTTCTGACATGAAAAAATGTGTGCCACTTACTTGGACATTTGCCTGGTCAGTGAAGCATTTGGCCTGTCACCACAAATCATGCTGTAGTACTGCAAAAAAAAAAGAGAGACAAGAATTATAAATTAAAAAAATGTTCACAATTGGGATGGTTTTAGACAGTGAGTGGTACATGAGACAGTTTTTTACAGTGGTACATGAGAAAGTTTTTTACAGTGGTACATGAGACAGTTTTTTACAGTGGTACATGAGACAGTTTTGTACAGTGGTTCATGAGACAGTTTTTTACAGTGGTACATGAGACAGTTTTATACAGTGGTACATGAGACAGTTTTGTACAGTGGTTCATGAGACAGTTTTTTTACAGTGGTACATGAGACAGTTTTGTACAGTGGTACATGAGACAGTTTTTTACAGTGGTACATGAGACGGTTTTGTACAGTGGTACATGAGACAGTTTTGTACAGTGGTAAATGAGACAGTTTTGTACAGTGGTACATGAGACAGTTTTGTACGGTGGTACATAGACAGTTTTGTACAGTGGTACATGAAACAGTTTTTTACAGTGGTACATGAGTCAGTTTTGTACAGTGGTACATGAGACAGTTTTGTACAGTGGTTCATGAGACAGTTTTTACAGTGGTACATGAGACAGTTTTGTACAGTGGTTCATAAGACAGTTGAATACAGTGGTTCATAAGACAGTTTTTTACAGTGGTTCATAAGACAGTTGAATACACTGGTTCATAAGACAGTTGAATACAGTGGTTCATAAGACAGTTTTGTACAGTGGTTCAAAAGACAGTTTTGTACAGTGGTTCATGAGACAGTTTTGTACAGTGGTACATGAGACAGTTTTGTACAGTGGTACATGAGACAGATTTTACAGTGGTACATGAGTCAGTTTTTTACAGTGGTACATGAGACAGTTTTGTACAGTGGTACATGAGACAGTTTTGTACAGTGGTACATGAGACAGTTTTGTACAGTGGTACATGAGACAGTTTTGTACAGTGGTACATGAGACAGTTTTGTACGTGGTACATGAGACAGTTTTGTACAGTGGTTCACAAGACAGTTGAATACAGTGTTCATAAGACAGTTGAATACAGTGGTTCATAAGACAGTTGAATAAACTGGTTCATAAGACAGTTGAATACAGTGGTTCATAAGACAGTTTTGTACAGTGGTTCATGAGACAGTTTTGTACAGTGGTTCATAAGACAGTTGAATAAAGTGGTTCATGAGACAGTTGAATACAGTGGTTCATAAGACAGTTGAATACAGTGGTTCATTAGACAGTTGAATACAGTGGTTCATAAGACAGTTGAATACAGTGGTTCATAAGACAGTTTTGTACAGTGGTAATTGGGACATATATGTCAGATAAATTTGATAGTGCATTCAGATGGCAAGTTGTGGACATTTAAGATCTGCATGAAATGGCTATAAATAGAACTTACATCATCACTTTGATGGAACATCGGTAAAAAATTGTTCTCCAGAAGGTTGTAGGCGTGTTCATAGGCTCTGAGAATACACAATAAATATTTATTTTTTTAGGTAAGGCTGTTTCTATTATTCCATGACTAAATTAATTTTTAATAGAACATGAGCATAAGCAAACAATACTGGCCCAAACACCTATCCAAAGTTTGGCAACAACAAAGAAATATGACCTACTTAAACAATGGTGTGGATGTCCTCAGTCGTATGACTTGGTCTGGTGGTCCTTCCACAACTAGGAGAAGATAATTATAACAGTGAAATTCTTATGTCATGAGCAGTTTGTCACACAAAAATTATTATGTTACTTGGGATCAAGTGTCTCTCAAACCCATTGATGTAACAGGCGGCTTGGTTAGGGTTAGGATTTGTGGAGAAAAAAAAAGCAGCGTAATTGAGTTTTAAATAAAATGATAATGCTTATGTAGCCAGTGGCAGTTTACTGACTACATCATGGCTGCACAGCAAAAAAAAAAAAAAAAAGGACTTCAAAAAAAAAAAGAGAAAAAACAAAAAAAAAAAAAAAAAAAAAAAAAAAAAACAAAATTGATGTAACAGGGGGCTTGGTTAGGGTTAGGATTTGGGGAAAAAAAAAAAGCAGCGTAATTGAGTTTTAAATAAAATGATAATGCTTATGTAGCCAGTGGCAGTTTACTGACTACATCATGGCTGCACAGCAAAAAAAAAAAAAAAAAGGCTTTTCATCACAAATTTGTCACTTCTCATCCATTTGAAAGGTTACATGAAAATGAACTTAAGATACATCTTAAAAACTGTGCTGTCTGCAACAGTGGGGCAATAAGGGCTAAGAACCAGGTGGAATGGACTTGACAAAACCAGCAAGGCAGCCATCATGTGAAGGAGGAGGTAAAACGTGAATAAGGAACAAAAAACTCAACACCTTAAGTAAATAGACAGCCTCTAACTTGGCGTGAAACTAAATATCAGACGCCATAATGTGCCATTGCATAATAAACAAAATGGCCAGCAGAAAACATCTCAGTGATGGTGAAAATATCCCTCCACTAAGCCCTAGAGCACTATTTTGTTTGACTTGTCTCTTAAATACTGTGTTGTTGTAGCCTGTGTCTTGACCTAATTTTATTTCAATGTAGAGACGAGACGTTCACCACTTGTCTCCCCCTTATTTTAGTTTTAAAATTGACAACGATTAAATGTGTGTCGCTGTTACAACCCCACCCCTCCCTTGATTGGGAAAAGGTTGTTTATGTTATATTTGTTCTAAAGGATGTCATTGAATGATACAATTTCTAGAATTTCTTTTCTGGAGGGTTATAACTATCTCCCTGTAAATAAGCAGACAGCTTTCCCAGCCAGAGGAGAGATTTTTACTAATTTTCCTAGACATTTACAAGGCATATTAATAGGAGCCTTACAAGATTATATTCTTTGTATGTGTGTGTGTACTTGCACCTTTCAAGAATTGTAATTTTTCATTAGCTGTGCAGTTATTTAATATAGTTTTTATTTCTGTTTATTTTACTTTGTGTTCTTTATATAAATTTGATAGCATAACTAATTGAATATTATTATATCTCTAGCTATGGTAGCATTTTTCATTGTATACCGGTTTTCAGTCCCTCCTTACAAATTGTTCATCTAACTAGCCAAATCTTCAAACAGATATAATTGGCAAAACTATATAACAGTATGTAATGTAACAGTATGTAATGTAACAGTATGTAATGTAACAGTATGTAATGTAACAGTATGTAATGTAACAGTATGTAATGTAACAGTAAGTAATGTAACAGTATGTAATGTAACAGTATGTAATATAACAGTATGTAATGTAACAGTATGAACAATGGCAACAAAGTAAAGCTAAAAACCTTCTCGAAGCGTCTCGACAACATCATCATCAAATTTGATCCTGTCCAGGGCATTGGGAGCGCAGTAGTTTTTGTACAGTTCTTTGGCGGTCATGTGCAGCTCAACAAACTCACTCTGAGACACATCGGGGCTGAGGATTCGCCTGTTGAAATCCTCTGGGGGAATCAGCAATGAGCAGCACATTTAGGGGTGGCACGGAACATTGCTCACCATATCATGTTGGCAAGGCAATCAATTACTTTAAACATGAAACTAAAATCTGAGTTGAAGTTCAAAAATTAAATTGTAAGTTACGCTATACATAACTGGCTGTTTGTTTTTTTTTAAAATGCTTCAAGGCTTAATTAATTTCCTATTCACTCACCACATGCTAAACAAAACTGTAAGACGTTAACAGCAGCCTCACTCTTGAGAAACTGCATGAACGGATACAGCAGTTCTGGGATCTCAGGGTTAATTACATCTTTTAATTCAAGACGCAGACACTGAAATGTGATACATCAACAGTAAATGAATGATGCAGAAATGTGATAAATCAACAGTAAATAGCAGACGAAGGCACTAAAATGTGATACATCAACAGTAAATAGCCGAAGCAAGCAATATCATATCATCACATAAGTTTTAAAGCAGTACATATCTAAAAATATCGTAAATAGATTTTGTATTAACATCTATCATAAAATTTTCTCTATGGCGTTAAAAAATGTGCTGCGCTATTTAAAAACTCACTGATTGGTTGTGGGCCTTGGCTTGACTGAACTGCACTAAAAATGGCACCATTGGAGAGGGAGGGTCTACAGGTGGTGGTGGCTGAAAGGGTCACATTTCATATTGGTTTTTTCTTTTAACATCATGAGAACCATTCTTGACTCATTTTTTTAATTTTAATTTTTTTTATTATTTTTTTTTTTAGATTCTAATTATGCTAATTGGCGCACAGTTTTAAAATCCAAGTACAACAAAGCAATCGAATCTTTCAATAAAAGTATAATTATTATGAGTATGAATCTTCCAAAGAATCTATTTTAAGCCCTTTTTGTACTTACGGGTGTATTGTCAAAGAATATCAGAAGTAAATTGTTAATTAAATCCTGTAGACCAAAAAACACAATTCACATAATCAACTTATTTCATCACTCAATAATACCAATAATTTGAACGAACAACTTTGATATATAAACAACAATTCCAGAGCACTATTTATGTTAGATATGGAAGAAAGTAAAACTATTTAAAAAAGCATGTGAACTAAAAATATTCTGTAATAACTTAAAACCAACCACAGAGTGCAAGGTGTATACCCTCTACTCACAGGATTTGCTATGGCATCCATGGTAGGCAGCAACACAGAACCTGCTAGCAGTTCTCTGACCAATGCACAGGTGCTCCTAGTAGAATAATAAATGATATTGAAATAGACAAAATAATAAAGTTATTGAAAGCCAGATTCTAAAATACATTTATGTAGTGTCTCCTCTACTTTTTTAAAGATTAATTTTCAAAATATAGCTTCACTTTAAACTTGTCAAACAACAGTAATGAAGGAGTAATTGTGTATTAGTTAATAAAAAAATGTGACTTTTTTTTTAATGACATTCTTAGTGACTAAGTATTCTTACTACTTTTTACATCATTTATTATTCATTAAATCTTTTTCTTCAAACCCTTCCATAATATTTATTGTTTTAAACAAGCAAAGATTATCAAAACAAATTTAAAAATGTATAAATTCATTAAATTCAAAATGGAACTCTTCCTAAAACTGTTTTTCAAAAATTGACAAAAATGGTAGCCATTAGTTAAAATTTACAAATGAAAGAGTAAAAAAGATCAATAACATGAGATTTCTTGAAAAGGTTAAAAAAATTTAACTTAACAAAAATAAAATTGTGCTGTACAGAAGAAAAAAACATACAAATTTTATTTTTTTTTAATTTCCATCGAACATCTAGGAACTATGTAAAATCACATTCCGCACTATGAAATAACATTGAATTTCGCCCATCTTTTATGTGGATGATAATCACTTATAAAAAAATCACTCATCTCCAACATTTAGTTTTAAATATCTTTGAATCATTTGTTTTAAACTGAAATTGTTACAGTAGAATATAAAGTTTCCACTGAAAATCTATTGTTTAAAAACTGACCTTTCATTTAAATGGTAAATTTTTTTATTTAAAAACTTTTAATAAGCCATCATAACTCCAAATTTCAAGCTAAGGAGCTATTAATATTAATAAAACAATAACCAATTATTGATTGTTTTTATATTTTTTAATTATAGAAATTATGACGATGTGTTATCTTATATACATCCAAATAGAGAGGTTGGCTTTTAAATGACAAGACTGGAGCTTTGAGTTATTTTACTGAGCCCACCCTGTCCACATACTCCTGCCTACAGATACTCCCTCAAAGGCAATATATTGTCCACCTGCTTCTACTCCAATGCTTATTTCTCCTAACCGCTTACAATGTAATCCATTCATGAATCGACTCCACTGCTTCCATCTACTAACCGCCTGTCTCTACTCCATTCATGCAACTACTCCCTGAGTCCTTAAACTCTTCACCTACTTCTATTTAACGCATGATTCATTGAGGTTGATCCAGTTTTCCCCCAAAAGTCCCCACAAATTAGCTTGCAGTTTCCTTTTTTAAGTGTTGATCTTATGATTCATGGCATTGTATGGCACAAACTAGAAATATGTTGACATTGCTGTGCCCGTTTGGCAGACTGACTGAGGAGGACCATTTGTGTCTTAAAGCTGTAGCTGAAAACTCAATCATTTTGGTTGCTTTCTTTGACACTGAAAATGTTCTCATGTGCACTGGCATGAAAAAATTCACCAATTATTTGAGAACCTTTTCAAAAAATCTTGTATGTCCCATGAAAACACAATGTGTGAAATATATTCAACTTTGTGAAACTCATTAAGGATGCATTATATTTGGCAGCTGTTTTGTTCAATTTCATAAAAAACTTCACATTAAGACATTACTTTATTTTGAAATTTAACTTTTTTTGTGTGTTGACAAACAATAAAAATGTTTCAATATCAAATTAGCTGCAGCAGAAAACTGATATTGTGTTTGGTCTGTTGATGGTTGGGAGTCAGGGTTCCCAATCCAGTGGTTCAATACACACCAGCCCAGTCTCATTAATTAATAGCCACACACTTTCTCGAACATCATTAAGAAGCCATCAAAAGAAATGCTTAATAAAGTCAAGAACAGCAAAGTGAGAAGTTATAAAGTAACACATGGCATGCAAAGTGTAAGCAAACAGTTTGTGCTTGGAACAAAAAAAAGTGTCAGTTCTTACTTTAACACAGGGACAAATGTGTCCTTGTCATAATCATCAGTTTCAGTGAAGCAAGCACTGACAAAATAGATCATCAATGCGAGTCAGAAATGGAGACCAGAAAATGTTTCTCATTAGGAAGATTACAAATGAAAAAGGGCCGAATCAGAGGCTAGCTTGCAAACAGGGGAACCTATGTATTATTCTGGATTTAGAATTATCCCCAACCAAAAAGGAATTTTGTAAATAAATTTAACATCATTATTAGTGAAAAATTAAATGCTCACGTTATTAATAAATTTCATTTGTTTTGCTACACTACTATGGCATTGAAAGCTCTGAGATTGTCTTTTTTAAAAATCCAGCTCTGGTTAATTTATCATCATTATATAAGGGAGGAGACTCTTATCTTTTAAAATGGTTATTAAATTAAACTGTGACAATTTCACTTGGCTAAACAATTTTTACTAATTACTATTAACTTTTAAAGGTTGTTCATATTAATTAGGTCACAATTCATTTACGTTGTAAAATATAATTTTTTTAAGTTTATTGGATAATATCCCTCTAAGATACAAAAAAAAACAACAAAAAACTAGTTGCCTTGACCCAGACAGACCATCTTGATGAAGGTCATGAAAATGAGAGGCTTGAAATGTAAATTCTTAACTGTACCTTGAGTTGAGAGCCTGTGGACGCAAGATGTATGGAAACAGTGATTCCACCAGCCTCCTTAAGTACTCCAGCTCAGCCTTCCTACTCCACATGGCACAGTGGACACTGGGGCCCATGAAATCCAACACTATCTGCTGGAGGTCGCCATTATTTCCAGCTGCAATCAGAGGGAAGAATGAATGGACAAAAGACAACTTCACAGCCTGCGTACATGAGAGATTGCAGCATGTCAATGGTGATTATATAATTTTTTAAGAGTTTCAGTCCATCATCAGTGATCATCACAGATTTAAAAAATAGGCCAGTTTGTGTCTTTAATGTGACATATTTTATTGAAGTATACAAAAGTTAACAAATGGCACTAGTTATACTAAGCGTTGCTAGACATTTTAGGATTTCCATCAGTTCTTGGAATGGTTTTTTTACTACTTAAACAGTGTCAAAATTTACAATTTATTTTATTTTTAGCAGTATTAAAATAATATAGAAATACATCACTTTTTTTTATCTTGAGATATGTACCTGACCATCATCTAGCCTTGTACATTTTAAATTTATGCCAAAAATCAGCTACCACACAAAGGTTTACTTGAAAGTGGTCAACATAATGACTGAAAACAACTAAATTTTGTAACATAATTACCTTTATCATACGCTTGTAAACACAAATCAATATGCTGCACGCCAGCACGCAGCAACTTTAAAGTTATAAGTTTAGGAACATCAACCTGTTAGTAGATTTTTTTAAATATATGTGAGAGTTTAACTCTTATGACATTAATCATAGTTGATGTAATCCTGAATAAATACTCATGGTAATAAGAAAATTCAAATACAGTAATACCTCGCTACTTCACATTTTGCACCCTCACTTATTCGCAGGTTTTCTCCTAAGATGAGCTCTGCAGAAATTTTGCTATTACGTTACAGATTTTTGCGGAATACTGTATACAGATTTTTATATATTTATTGTTTTAACTATTTTTGCAGTAAAATAAGCATTTTCTAGCCTAAATAATTTAAAATGATATATATATAACTTAATTTAAAACTAATTAAAATACCATTAAATCAAAATAAATAGAAAAGTTTCAAAGTGTGTTTGAAGGGTTTAATAAGCTTTAAAGCATGCATAAATCAGACTATGCAGTTTTTTTTTTACATTTCAAAAATCTCTTGTCACATAACCCCGGTGATATTTGAGGTGTTACTGTGTTCACAATGTCACTGTTTCTTCAGATAACTATCCATATAAATGCAAATTTACCTAATAGTTACAATATAAAAAAAAATAATTCAATATTGTCACAAACAACAGAGACAAATTTTATGATTTCTATTATCATTTGCAGCAAAAGTCGATTGACATCTGCTTATTTCCTTTAAAGCTATATGAACCTGGAAACTTTGCAAATAAAATTTTAAGTTTATTCAAATTAAATATCTGAAATGTATTATCAGGTGTGATTTTTATAAAAATTGAAACCTTTTTTAATCTCCTAAACATCACAGAAGCCAAAAATCTAAAATTTGTCCTCAGTTCATCAACAAATTCTTCATCTTCACTGAGATCTCTGTGGGTGTTAAAACAAAATAAATGTACAGAAGAAAGATACATTAAAAGAAAGAGAACTCATTTTATTTTTATTTCTCAATGAACATAGATTTTTCATTTAAAGAATTTTTAATTTTAGTTTGTGTAATTTAATTTAGAAATCTGAGAATCTTGAAATTTTCAGTTAACAAAGAAACAAATGAATGTTAAGAAACAAGCACAGCTAAAGTCTTTACTTAAGTCATATTTGAACCAAACTCCATTTCTTTCCATAACACTCATCTGATCATGAAATTTCAAGCACATACCAATTATATGTGTGTATGCATATATATATTATTTATTTATATATTTATTATATAAAATGATAATAGATTTTAAAAAGTTCAGAGCCAACATCAAAACATGTAAACTAATTATTTACCTATACCAGGTGTACACAAAATCTTTGAGAACTATAGTGAAAAACTGAGGAGCAAAAACATTTTTACATATAGATGTATACCTAAACAAGTATTATTATAAGTATTCAGACTTCTCACTCTTGCTTAAAACATTAATTAGAAGGAATCATAACAGATCTGTTTTCTTGTCAAATGAAACCAATACATGTACTTTAGAAATAATACTGTTTAAGATAAATATTCTTTCACTACTGACAAAACTGCAAATTAAATATGAGTAAAATTAAGCAAAGAAGCAAATGTACGAAAATAAAAGCCTCAATATTTCGACCATACCTCATGTAAAGCATCATCAACCTTTTGGTGTATATCAAGATTAGTCCATGGTTGAAATGCTAAAATATTTAGCTCAGGCCTGTAAATGAGAAATGAATTTCATTAATCAAAACAATTAACTCAGAACTACAGACATAAAAGTATAAATAATGTATGTCAGCTAAATGTTGGCTAATCTGAGTATACTTTGCATAAGACTAAACATATATTTTAAAAATTTAAAAAGGTACTATTATTATATGGTTAGTAACATGTGCATAAGAACCAACCTGTGGCGTGGACATTTGCGCAAACCACAAACTGTGCATACCGTCTTCATCAAAGTTAATTCATCATCTTCGATGTTCTTGTGCTGAGGGTTTTAAAGTGTTTACGGTAAATCAAATGGGTATTTTAGTGAGTTTTCTTCAATAGTGTATTGTTAAAGCAATTTTTTTTTTTACTAATTTTAAATAATAAGTAGAATTTCTAATTCAAGCAACGTTCATACTGAAATTAGCTAAAATACACTTAGAGTCCATGGACATATTTATCATTACGGAGAAAACCAAAGAAAAATAAAAGTAGAATAGAAAATAAATATTGAATATTTTTACCTTTGAACTTTTTGAGAATATGGGGAGTAGGTTTGGTAAGACTGAAGTTGGACTGCAAAAGAAAATATATATTAACGTTTTAGCCTTAATATAGCAGTTTGCTCATTTTTTAAAAAGTTTATTTCTAGTCTCTTTCACATGCAACTATCCTGAGAAGAAGTTATGAGTTTTAAGACAAGCCTCACTAAAGTTCAGGGACAAACCCTTAGGAAAAATACTGCCTGGGCGCCATGTGTGGACAAACCTGCAACAACAGAATTTGAAAGGCTTTGCTTGTCATGGTAAAGATTATAAATATTTTTAAAAAAATTTAAATGCATACTTACCTAAGTAAACTATATGCAAAAATAATCCCAGCTATGAACATCCAGAATATCAGAAATATTTGGTAACAGCTGAAATTCAAAAGCAAAATTAATCTTGTGATTTTAAAAGTCTATTTTAACAGAGTTTAATTTTCTCAACAATAATTAGAATATCTCTTTTTAATAATTTCTTCAGTCACGAGAGCATCATTCAGCCATTTAAACAAAGGTGTTACTGCCACATCCCTAAGATAAGATTTTGTATGCCTGACCCTATTCAGGAATAGCAAATTGTGCACAAAGAAAGAATATTCCTTACTCATGTTATAATACTCTCCTCATTTGATAACAGTTAAGCAAAAAGTTGCATTCAAGTGTATAAATATAAATATCTTAGCAATGAGTAGAACTATAAATATTTTCAAAATGTACAATTAGGTGCTTTGCAGACGTCTTGCATTAATTTGTTTTTTTTTAATTCTGCTAGTAAAACTGTGTAAAAAAGAAACCAATTTCCCCCCAAAAATGGGTAAAAAAAAAAAGATAAAAAGAGAACAGAAGAATATACATAACTTTTTATAATAATAACTGTGCTTGTGCGTTGCAACCAGAGGTTTCAGAACATGCCAAAGTGTATAGCATATTCTATGCTCTAGCCAGAAGGCACCTTCGCTAGTTAGGCTATGTCAGGAGAATGGAGAAAGGCCTTATTCCAAAAGATCTGCTTATGCAGAGTTGGCAGAAGGGGCAAGAGTTATTGGACAGCTGTGACTGCAATTTAAGGATGCTTGCAAAAGGAACATGCATGAAGCCAAAATAGAAATCAATGAATGGAAGATCATTGCTGAGCACCGTTCCAGTTGGTGAACAGCAGTATATGAAAGAGTCAAACAGTCAGAAGATGAGCAAAATGAAGCCCTTGCAACAAAAAGAGCATTACAAAAGGCTAAATTTAACCAGGAGTCAAAGTTTTCCTGCAATAAGTCAAACAAGATTGCCATTCCAGTATCAGCCTCGTAGGCGATTTGATGAAGTGTCACTAACTACTTCATCGTATTGCGAAGATGGAACGATGTCAAATAATTTTTTTCAATTCAGGACAGGGACAGGTATTTGTATGAATCAAAATATGTTTAGGTTTTTAAAAAAAGAGAGAACAATGAAAAGGATGTTTCCACTAATTGACTTCTTCAGAGAACAATAAAATACATGAAATAAAAAGTAACTTTTAATTAAATTACACAGAAATTGTCACTGAGTGAGCTACATTGTGATCTGGGAACACTTGAGTTTTTGATTAATTTCAAACAATTTGTTTTTTCTTGTTTTGTTTGACTTTGTCTGCTGAAGAAGGTAATCAGTCATTTAGACTTAGAGAGGTAAATTCTTTAAATTTAAATTGTTCTGTATTTTTTCTGTATGTACACTGCCTTATAACTTACAAGCCTTATGATTATCATGATAATGCCCATTTTACTTATATAAACTTACATATCATACATAGACTAGACATTAGTCTATTTTCTATTAGAGTCTATTCTAACTCTATAGTTCCGATGATCAGATATGTATGAGTATGGCACTTGACTTACTTGTAAAAGAGTAAATTGATGATAAAAAGAACAATGCAGGATGCAGTAAATTTCGAGTGCCTTTGGGCATAAAACTTTAGCAAATACCAAGGGATCATTGTGGTAAATGCAGTTCTGAGGGTTTCAATATCTGTTTATTATATACAATTTCCCCTCCCCTACACATCATTTTCTCAGCTTTATCTCCCTTGTTTGTAAATTGACCGGAAGTTTTCATGCTATTAATTTACTTAGTACACTTGCTCTACACTTGTGTTAACCCGGATCCGGAAAATGAATTTGACACCATACAATTCTATTTGTTGTCACTGGAAACGACAAGACTTTCATAGAGAACATGTTGAAGTATAAATAATTGGTATCTTTCTGTTACAGTCTATAGTTTTTAAGGCGTATTAACCAATTATAGGTAATATAGTAATAATTATGTTGGCTTTATATATATTTATATTGAAAGGATTATTTTCGGGAATGGAACAAAATTCGCAAAGCTAAGAAAGAAAAAAGAAGAAGAGTAAAAAAAAAGTCTTAGCCCATATTTTGTGAAACTCTCCTCTCTAACTCTACTTAGTACTTAAGTACTTTGGTAAAAAAAATAAGGCATTCGAAAAGATTATAAAAATATTACAGTTATATAGAGCAAATTTCAAAAACAAGAATTAACTTTCTAGCTTTAGTCCTAAATACATTTTGAGCTATGAATGTTTAAGTTTAAATTTAAAGTAAAGAGTTTGAGTGAGTTCGTTTGACTTTGCCAACTTTGGCATTTGTTTGTTTGGTTTACTGTGGATTGCACCTCCACATTGTGATATTGTGTGACCCCATTCCACTGATCACATCAGGCTCAATAACTCTTAGTTATATGATCAATGATAGCTTTATACAACTTTTATTTTCAGGATTTATCATTAATGAATTTAATGCCAAGTATTAAATGTTATAATTTTAAAATTAATTTTAACAATATTATGCAATTATAAATAAATTATAACTTATCTAGATTTTTAATATCATATTAAATAGGCAGTGTCTACACGTCCGGCGCGCCGGACGTCTATCTCCCGCACTATGTGTCCGGCGACCAAGTCACATGACCGCCGTAACAAAGTGGCGAGAGATATCGTGTCGGTCAGCCTTGTCACGTGACTGCGAATAATTCAAAACTATTGTTAATTTTAAAATCTATTTCTCTACCAAGTAATGTACTGAGTATCTTGAATGCAAATAATAGAAAAAGAAACTTAAGTGAAAGTGGCTTGTAAACATTTTTGTTTAGTTTGTTATTTTTTGTGTACCAGTAATCCATAAAATAAATTAGGGGCCAGTGTGGCAACCAATAAAAGTTAAAGATTTCATTTTAAATTATTTCAATTGCTACAAAATATTTAAAAACTTCTCATGAAACTACTGTTGCTGAGGAACATGATAATATAAATATATACAAAATATTTTAATTAAAATGGGAAGAAAAAAAACGACCCTATTCCCGGTATAGATCCTCAAACATTCCTATCGTCAAGCAACCACTCCACCACAAGACCAGACAAGATTTACTAAATCGTACTTCGTTTGGAATTATAAAAACTACTAGCCGTCCGGCCATGTCCGGCGGTCACGTGACAAGTCGCCGGACGTGTATCTTGCGCACTACACGTCCGGCGCGCCGGACGTGTAGACACTTCGTATTAAATATGCATTATTACATTAAATATTGGATTTTCTCCTTAGCAAGTCTAGTGTCCATTATAAATAGTCTATATAAGGCTAAGGCATTGTAATGCAAGATACTGTCTTGAGACTACTTATTTTGAGCTTACAAATATAACAATTTGATAGCGATTTAGATCTACTTTTTAAAATGACATAATTACATAGTCCAGCCTTTATTCAATGTCAATTTCCTTTTTTTTTTTTTACTTGATTTAAGTCTTCAAAACTAAACAAAATGCCTAATTAGTTAACTTTAAAAATTAAGTCTTAGTCTTATTATTTATGAATAAATATAAATTTAACTACTCACTTGACAGTTATAAATAGTCAGAGTGAAATTGACTTGTGCCTATTCTATAGTAAGTCAGTCTTACTCTCAGGTAAAGACTTTTTTAAGACAGAAATGACATGACATAATAATATAAATCTGATTTATTTTACAAAATAATATAAATCTGATTTATTTATCACAATGTTGTTCAATCCATGTACTTTTTATTGAGTTTAATACTGTGGCACAGCTAGACATTTTTCATTGTTCTGTTGATTTATTAATCAGACATATTTCACTCTGTATTGTTAATATTTTTTTGTAAAATTTAGTTTCAATTTGTGCTGATTTTATTTATCACTGTTATTTCATATTTCTGTCTCTTCCAGGTTGCCCATCAAAGGGTTAGCTAATTGCTGATGGTTCAGCATTAAGAAGTGTAGCCATCTGTGGCATGGACAGGTATGAAAACCTGGGACTTGTAGGGGAGGGAAGCTATGGGATGGTACTCAAATGTCGCCATAAAGAAACTGGACAATTAGTGGCTATCAAGAAATTTCTTGAGTCGGAAGATGATAAAGTGGTCCAGAAGATTGCTTTAAGAGAGGTCAAAATGTTAAAAGTAAGTTGTTTTTTATGGTTGGTTTTGTAATTTAAAAATAATTTATATCTGCTTCTACTTTTAATTGCCAGTATGACTTCAGTTTCAGAATAAATATTATTTTTGAGGAGAAGCAAGTAACAAAGTTAATGTTTTAGCTTTTTTTTTATCATTATTCATTGTGGTAGTAAAATGAGCAACTCACAACATTATTAACTCTGTATAAGTTAATTTTTTTTGTCTATTTATGATTGCAGTATGATCATGATAATTTAAGCTATTTATATTGATCAAATGTACTACTTAATTATTTTTCATGCAACTTGTTTTTCAGCAACTCCAACATGACAATCTTGTAAACCTTATTGAGACTTTCCGTAGGAGAAAACGTCTTTATCTGGTGTTTGAATTTGTTGACCATACCATCTTAGATGAATTGGAGAAATGTCCGAATGGCCTTGATGAAAATTCATGCCGTAAAATATTGTGGCAGGTTCTCAAAGGGACAGAATTTTGTCATTCTCATAACGTAGGTTGTTTTTATTTTTTTGGTGGCTGTTCATCAAAACACATTTATCTCCTTTATGCTAAATGAATTGTGTTTTTTCATGGTGTGTAATATAATAATTAACTCTGAGCAGGTTTGTTAAAGTACAAATTTACACCAAAGACTTTCTTCTTCATAAGTGATGATTTCTAATAAATCTCTAATTAACAATTTTTGTGTTTGTATCAAATTATTCAAGAAAAAATATGGAGTTTGGAATTTATTTATTTTGTTAATTAACCGCTTGAAATTTGAGTTGAAAACAATCAGATTTGTTATTTAGGTTTATCATATTCACTTGTACATATGGAGGCTAATGAGAATAATTTAGGAAATAAACTACCACTTAGAAAACTTAATCCAGCTTCAATTAATAAATTTCATCATTATAATTTCTAGATATATAACCCCCCCCCCCCCATCCTATGCCTGACATCCCAAATGTGTCACAAAAAGTTAGACACCCTTGTCACAAATCATCAGAAAATATGACACCCCCTCCCCTGTGGATGTGTGACATTATTTATGAATGACCACATTAACTGTATACATAAATTAAAATCTTAAATAGATTTAACTTGGACTATATTTAACATCAAATTTTCCAAGGGACAAGTAAGCACTGCATTGAACAAGAATGGAATCCTTATTCTCCTTAGTGAATAACACACATTAGAACAACCTATCCATAAGTATAAATCTAATACATAAATAAGGTTGTTGTTTTTTTTAATTTCATTCTTTTTTGAAATTTCCAACTTCACATTTTGTTACAGATCATTCACAGAGACATCAAGCCAGAAAATATACTGATAAGTAAGAGTGGTATAATCAAAATTTGTGACTTTGGATTTGCTAGAACCTTAGCACAACCTGGTGAGACGTACACAGATTATGTTGCTACTAGATGGTACAGGGCCCCAGAGCTTTTGGTTGGAGACACCAAATATGGCAGGTAAGTACCACAATGCTGATCCTAAAACTGGTGCAAATCAGGCCTCCATAAATATATGACTTTTAAAAAAGAATTATGACATTTTGACAATGTAATTTTATGATTGAATATGTTACTCATGAGAATGTCAGTTTACTTTTGAATTTGTCACTCTAGCAGTGTAACATAGTGTTTTGAAGCATAGAGGATTTTCCGCACAGTAAATTTGATTTCTTCACTACAATTTGAACTCATAAAAATTATTTTTATAAAACTAGATAAAAACCCATGTAAATCCCATTTTTCCCCCAGAGCTGTTGACATTTGGGCCATTGGGTGCTTGTTATATGAAATTATAACAGGAGAACCACTCTTTCCAGGAGATTCTGACATAGACCAGCTGTATCATATAATCAGGTGTTTTGGTCAGTTAAACAAATCTTTTATTGAACTTAATAACTAAAACTGTGTTCTGAGAAACTTATAATTAACTACTTTGAAACAAGACATAAATTCAACAGATTTTTAAATTTTTTGCTGCATGTCATATATTTGTTTTTAAATTTTTTAATTGTCTCCAGATGTGAGGCAGTGTAAATATAAAAATATCAGTCAGGATATGGTAGATATTTGAAGAATATTTATTTTTTTATAGCCCAACTGTTATTCACATCCCAAATAATGATGATATCATTTTAACAATTCACTTCTTTTTTATTTTAATTTTTCAAGGAAATTTGCCACAAAGGCACAAAGAAGTTTTCCATCGTAACCCACTTTTTGTAGGCATGCGGCTGCCAGAGGTGCGGGATATTATTCCCTTAGAGAAGAAGATAACCAAAGTCTCTCCTGATTCTCTAAATTTTATGAAGGTATTGAATATTTTATTTCTTTTATTATCTTTTAAGTTCCCATTAAAAGTTTATTTAAAGGTATTCCAACATACCCTCCATGTATTGTCTTCAGATGGGAAAAAAGCTAGGTGACCTTCTGGTTCACAGTCACCTTTCATTTGACCCATCTTATGTTGGAACTAAACCATGCTCAAGAAGCCTTTGTAGGTCTTGTCCCTATACACTCCAAACCAAAATTATTAGCCTTCCTAAAAGTACTTTTACCATCAAACAAAGAGTGCTTTACTTGTGTAAGTCGAAATGTGATATATGGGATTGTGTGCCATAGATACCACTCCTGATATATATAGGCGAAACTGATAGAAGATTATCAGATTGATTCACTGAAAATCTTCTTGATATTGAACAGGCTAGACTTTCGCTAGTCTCAGGGGTGTAGCTAGCGTTGGTGTCACCCGGTGTGGTAAACTCATGGTGTCACCCCTGCCCCCCGACTTCCATGATGGATTTCTTATTGTTAAAAGAAGTTCACATTATAACAATGACAAGAACAAAAACAAAATAATTGAAGTTCAGATGGTAAATGTATTTAAGAATTGTAACAGCGCTATGTTATTTTCCTTTCCTGGTCTTCAAAGTTGTAAACCTGTCAATCACTTGATCAAAATCAATATCCTTCACCGTTTCACTTTCAATTGAAAGTAGAGCTAGATCAGAGCTACTTCCTTTATCGCTAATGATCTGATCTTGAGTTCAAAATGAAAGTGATGAATACACTCCAGCATCTCCCTATGGTTTTCTTCTTGCAGAGAGAGTCCAGTATCTATTAATTTTTCTCCTGTCATTCTCTTCTTAACCCTTAATCTTCTCCCTACCAAAATTCTATACTAGTCTAATTTTAAAAGTGCCTTTTCAATAGCATGTTCCACCAAGTGGCAGCGCTTCTCATGCAGAAACAATCTAAAGGCCTTTTTTGTTCTTCACCACTTTGTCAAGAGTAAAGCTTTAGTTTCCAGATACTGCTGTGTAAGATTAACTTCCTCACATAGATCAGCTCAAAGGTAAATGTAGCAGATAAACATGAAATCAAAGATAGCATGTAAAAGAACTTGTGCTGTATGACAATCATGCTCAAATGTTAAGGGGTGGTGCAGTGACGAATCTGTGACAATATTTATTTTGAGTATTTCTGGGTTTTGGTATATTTGGTTTCAAAAACCTTATTTCTTTTAAATTTTAAATTAATTTAAATCAATTATCAAAAGATAGAAAATCTTTTAAATATAATTTTGTTAACCCTATAAATGGGCAAAAGTCATTTTTTTTTATGTTTTTAATTTTTACAGATTTGATTCATGTGCTTAGAATAGCCCGACCACATCGTATTTGGTATCAATGGAAAGCTTTATTTCTCAGAATTTAGATAAATTTAGCTACCTGTCACTCACAAAAGTTACTGAAAAGTCAATCGGTGTTGAATCATTGTCAAAATGGTGTTTTTCTTACCTAATCATAGGGTCACCTCATTTCTGACGCACCACTATAATTAAAGCAAGCATTTGGATTGATTACATGTGTGGAAAATTCACATATGATCAGTTATCCTTTAATGAAATTCAGTTAAACCAAGCAGTGTATGCTCTGTAAATAATATGCTGTTTTTTTAAATTTGGTGTCACCCCTGAGATGGTGTCACGCATTGCGGTCCGCACCCCCAGCACACCCCTAGCTAGCCCACTCCCCTGTCTCATCCCATTTCAATGAAGATAAATATAAAGGGACATTAAAAATATCCATCATTGCCCTGATTTCCTGTACCAAGACACCAGAGAGAGTTAGAAGGGAAAACAAATTAATTTAGCTTTTTGCCACAATATCAACATATGGAATTAATCCAATACTCTCCTACTAATGACTTGCTATTTCCCTGCATTTTTTTCTTTTCTCATTTTTTATATTTCTTAAAAATATTTTTTTGGTTAAGATTCAGATCTTTTTTTTTTCACAGCAACATTTCATAAATTCTTTCACTTCCTGTAATCTTGGTATCGGAAAATCCAAATTCTGGCAATAGCAATGGCAATCACTTAAGTTTTTAACTTGTTTTTATTTTTGTCATATTTTATTTTGGGCTGTCTGCTGAGGAAGGCCCTTAGCTAAAAAGTGTTTTACCTTATTGTCTTGTCTTTGAATTTAAGCTTTCACATATTTTGTTCTTCTATTTCCTGAATTTACCAAATGTTGCAAAAAATCATTGAAAGGCTATCACTAATCATTTAATTGTTTTATGTCTTTTTGCTTTTAGCAATGCTTACAATTAGACCCAGAGAAGAGGCCAACTTGCACACAGCTTCTGAAACATAATTTATTCCTTAAAGATGGCTTTGGAGCCCGATTTATTGTTGAATTGAGACAAAAAATCTACCACGAAAATGTAGCCAATGAGCTCCCGAAGTCATCACCCAGCACAATCAAGGCAGATCAGGAAAAGACAACTGAAGAGGATGAAAATGAAAACAGCAAAGTGTTTAAAGTGATAGCAAAGAAAAAGAAGAAGCCTGAGCCAAAAAAGGTTATATTGTTTTTTTTTAGATAATAGATAACTATAGACTTTAAAAATGGATAGTCTATATCTCAAGCTAATAATTATAATGGTCCTCTGATCTTTAATAATTTCAAACATAAATTGAGTTAATTTTAACTATATAATAATGGAAACATTGTCAGGCAAGTAAACTCTTCAGATTAAAAAAATATGTAGCATGTCAACGAGTTCTGGTAACAGAATTAATAAATAATTTTTAAAAATTGTATTAATTTTTACCATTGCTTAGGATGAAACAAAAAGTGATGAAAAGACTCTCAAGAAGATACTCGATACAGAAAATAAATCTTACTCTAAAGAGAGTTCACTGAAGCCCACAGCTGCCACGCCAGTAATCAGCTTCATCAATCAACCAATGACTCTACCTCCTGCAGCAAATAGCGCCACATTTTTAAGTGCAAATCTCTCACAAAACAATGCCAATGAAGGAGAGTTTTTTACAGAAAAAGACAACAGGGACAGGGATAAAGATGCCAGGGATCATATCACTCAGGCCCACCACCTGACTCCAAGCAACATTCCACCGATTACAACAAACACTCAAACCCGGTAAGAAATTGTAACATTCAATTTTTTTTTTAAAATTATGTGCAAATTTTGCTTGTTATCCAAATACATAGTACCTTACTTTACAGTACAATTTTTTTACATTGATTTTGTATTACATGTTGCTATTGTTATTTTTAATTGCTAAATATTTTTTTTTAAATTGTTTTTCCTGATAAAAAATGAAGAAATGTTTTTAGAATTTAAAAAATATTATGATTTCAAATATTAAATTTATCTATTTCTAAGTTACAGCAAATATTTTATTTCATGTGAATTATTATTTCTTTATCTAGGGAACATTCACATGAAGAATTTATGTGTACTATTGACACTAATTATTGGTGTCTTTAAGCTGAAATGTCACCTAAACCTTAGTAATAATTCTTTTTATTGAGATTCTCTAATTTCTTGCTTTGACCACTCCAGCATCAGAGATTATTTGGTTTACTTTTTTCAGAGCTCCTGTGTTGAGAACTTTTTTAAGGTGATTTGCTTTATTCCTATAATCATTTATGAAAACAAAAATGTGTAACTTCTCAGACATCTTTGAGGAACATTGAGAGGCTTTGAAATATGAATTGTTATTTATTTATTTTTTTGCCTTCCAATTTAAAGAAATAGAGAGCTTACCACTTTAGTAACAACAAAAATTTTCTCCTCAGAGTTTACTGTACTATCAGTCTATGAGAATTCAAAATAAAATTAATGATTATAAAATTAGCCTTAATTTAAAAAGATTTTGGCTGGAAGTCTCACCACTCACCTTCAACTGTCCTAAAACTATTTATTAGAGCTAATGATCACAAGCCATTAAAAGGATACAGAAATGAGCTGCTGTTAATTTATTAATACTTTTTTTAACAAAAAGTAACTAAAAAATTGTTTTTTCTGTGAAGAAAAGTTATTTATTGGACCACTATAAATGTGGGAATGTCCTCAATTAATTTTATTTGATCTTCTTATGAGCCAAAAAGGGTTTACGACAATATTGAACATATCTGAATGTTCCTAAAACAAGTCAAATAATTCAGTTGTAATCAGACTTTTAATATTGAATATTTTCACTGGCCATACACACACAGCACAAGTTCACATAACATGCATCATTGTTTTTTTAAATTCTAAAGCTCACTCACGAAGTAATATAGTTCTATGTGGAAGGATAGCTTTATAAAACTATTAGTTGTTTGGTTTTTTTTTAATGTTGGTATGTATTTTGTCTAAAGATAATGCCTCATTTGAAAAAAAAAAAATTACATTAACAAATGTTTTCATTTAATGCTTAAATAAAGTATTACAACATATTTGTTCCTGAATACAGTGTTACTAATAATTATTGCTAAAAAGTCTCAGCGCTCCCACAATAATTTAAATAACAGATTCTACATAAATTCTAATTTATAATAAATTACTTACCTAAAAGCCTTTTGATTCCAATACTACAGTGTGATTAAATATCTCTTTTTGCCTAACCATTTCCCTAAATTATATTAGTTTATCTAAATTGTTTTTACATATTTTGATAAAGCTAAAAATCATATCTCTTTGAGATGGATTTAACATTAAAGATTGCTATTTTTTTTGCATAAGAAAATCAATAGATGCATTAAATTTATATTAATTCAAAATTTCTGTGATTTATTTTGACATTTTTGGAAATTAACATTACAATTGACCAGAAGTTAAACAAATTTCATACTTGTCAAATCCTTAACATTGTTGACCTAAATAGCCATGAGGATTTTAAATTTCTCTTTTTTTCACATGAAAATAAAGTTTTCATGTTAGACAACAGTGGCAAATGTTTTGTACTAAAAACTTTTTACCTTTTCTTTCAGGATTGCAAGTAATTTTTTAAATTAATTTCGCAGGCTTAATTTAGATTTTTTATTTTCATTTCTTTTTACATTACTCAAAACAACTAATGGGAAAACATAACTCATTTGTGGATATTGGGTCTTCATATATTTTATTTTTACAAATGAATATTTATAAACAAAACACCTCACATCTGAAAGTTCTAATAATTAAGCTATGAAACCTTAGGAGGGTAACCTTTTATTAATTTATTTACAAAATAGACCCTTTGGAAACATAAAGAGTGATCTCAGTACCTCTTGCATTACCTGAGAGTACCACGGAAGCCCTTTCTTTGAAAGTTGTTCAACATCTCCTGCAATTTCATATGGTTTTATTCTAGGGTGTCAAAGGGATGCATCTTTAACTCAAATTTCATTTTGGGAAACCAAATTTTATCCCCCATGATGATCCTAGAATTATATTTGGATAGTTGGGCCTCTCTTAAAGCTTGAGATACATATCATGCAATGACTACTTTTGATCGATTTTTCAGAGCGAGCGAAAAACTTTGCAGTATCGCAATGCATTACTATGTTCTCGGTGAGGTTCTCTTGTCAGACCAGAAAAACAATCAAGCCAAATGACTGTGGTCCTAGAGTGTTTGAGAATCACTGCTGGTCATCTACAGCATCCTGGTCTTTTTCAGTCATTTTGACTAAGTCTTGCCATTGGATCAAATAGGCAAGGATCAGAGAGTGACGCTGATGAATTGAGCAACTCTCTCTCACTTTAAACAAAATACAGCTCAATTCAAGGTTACTACTCAAGTTGAAAATTGCCTCATCTATATGGATAAAGGACAAACAATATAACAGACTGTTTAACTGTGATCCTTATTGATACATTTTCTAAAAAATTATTGATGTTTTGCTGGTGATCAGTCACCCTGAACATTTGTCATCTTCAAACAGCACTTGGTCAACCCTTAAAAACATTCATACCATATACAAATCTATGCTTGACTAAAAAAATTCATCAAACCTTGATGCAGCATTTATAAGGTCTTGTTTGCAGATTTGCTCAGTTTTACATTAAACCAGATGAGAGATGTTGTTACAAATTATCAGCCATCTTAACATTGGTTAGCAGTTGTAACACTGGGATTTAAAAAATATATTCAACAACTATTTACTTTTAGACATAGTAATGCAACCCTGCAGTGATCTTCAGTTTCAAAATTGTATTGGCTGAAGAGTGCAACTGTAGCAAATGCAGCCTCAAAAATTTCTCATGAATGTGTATTTCTATAAGATATGAATTTATGAAATTTTAAATTTGATGACAGACATGGATACTTTAGGAAGGAAAAAACTATTCAATTATTTCAGTTAAAAATAACTAGATTATAATATTAACATGTATTTTTCATTTCCAATAGTAGTCTTTTCAAAATCCCTTGTTACTAAATGACATTGCTTCTATTTTGTTAGTTAAAAAATCTCTTCCTTCTCTTGATTTGTTTTCCATCAGTAACCCTGCAGGGATGTATATGGTATATATATTTTGTCATGCATACTTATATTTTGTAAATATTTTATTATTTTTACATCTTAATAATCTCGTATACAAATAATTTGATTTCCTTTATTACCTAGTTTATGTAGCTATTATTTAGCATCTTGACCATAGTTCGTAGTGGACCATAAAGTAGTTGTCCAGTTGCTTGGTCTCACAACTTAGCTAGTAAAAGTAGGACTGCTAAACGAGTCTATTTATGTGCATAATTTTGTCCCTTTCATCAATAGATTTTATATTGTTTTACATATCAGATTTTTCTATCTTTAAAAATCTCCACCAAAACTTTTTAATGGGCATTACACTTATTTTACTTTTTCAAAGTATTGTCCCCTTTTACTATAATCAAGCCTGTAATTTTCTATAGATGAATAGCATTAAAATAAATATTGTTGCTTTATGGGACAGAAATTTTTTTATTAAAGTAAGATGGCCAAAATAAAAATTTAAGGGAAGGATTTCATGTCAATGGATCTAAAGTTTTATTATGAGACAATCCATTTTTTTAAGTACTGTATTTCTATAAGTACTATATTCACTTATTTTAAAAAAAAGATGAAATAATCCTGAAAATTAAACATAAATTTTGTTTTAAATTTTAAAGTAATAAAAATAATTTCAGACGTAGACAAAAATAGACCCACATTTTTTTAAATTTTAAATCCCAAACTGTGTACTGTGCACTACTTTTATCAATTCCATGAAACTTTTATTGATATAAACTCTGTAATAGTCAGGAGAACTCTTGACTTTCTTTTTTAATTGAGTCTATTACTCTGTGTACCAATATTTTAAGTCTACCCATATATTTTAAAGATGAAAAATAAGGAGATCATAACTGTTTTAACGGTAAGACATTCTTTAATATTTTGTCAGAGCTCAAAGCAATATACCTAAGGTCTGTGCAATTATAATAACTTAAAATATGTATATTTTTGCTGGTAGGCAACACTTTTTCATAACAAGTTAAATTGATTTTAAAAAAATAAAAGATTTTATTTTTATCAGAACAAGATTTTATAACATGTAATATTGACAGGTCCAAGAACTTATGGGCTATTACTCTAAAAAAAGATATGTGTCTTTTGCTGTTGATGACCCAGCAATTTTTTGATTACATGCATCTTCAGTTTCGTTATTAAACATCTAGTTTCTTTTGTTTAACTATTTGTAGTCCTGCAATAGCAAAGGTGAAAACTGATGAGAAGTGGTCCCCCCGTAATCCACTTGGCAATCGAACTTCAACGTTCAGGTAAAACTTATTCCACATAAAATGGGTATTTTGAGTTGTAACACAAACATTTTACTTGTGATTATGGGGTTTATTTTTTTTTCTATTCATAGTACAAATGTAAGAAAAACTCAAGCAATTGGTGGAACCTACATATAGCTGGATGTTTTTTTTATACCCTACATCCACACCCTACCCCCCATACTTTAATCCACACTCTCCACTCCACACTCTACCATGGACGTCATTTGGGCAGTGAAGGGTGGGACATCCCCCCCCCCACCCCCGAATTAGCCTCCAATAATAAACAACTAAAGAAACTGAACAAGTTTTGGTTTTGCCCCTATTTTTTTTTTATACCCCACCTCCCCCCCCTCCCCCCCATACTTTAATCCACACTCCCCACTCCCCACTCTACCATGGACGTCATTTGGGCAGTGAAGGGTGGGACATCCCCCCCCCCACCCCCGAATTAGCCTCCAATAATAAACAACTAAAGAAACTGAACAAGTTTTGGTTTTGCCCCCCCCCCCTTTTTTTTCCTGAAAAAAACTGAAAAATGACGCCCCTACATCCCACACCATACATCCCAAACCCTACACCCCACCTCCTAATCCCAATACTCCACACCCTACATCCACACCAGAGGCGTAGCGAGGGGGTGGCAGGGGGGGACAGATGTCCCCGGGCGCCAGCTAGTTAGGGGCGCCAAAATGTGCTTTGATTTTATTTTATTGATGAAAATAATGGGTTTGAGAGTTTAAAAAAAGAAAAAGGGGCGCTTTAAAATGGATCTTGTCCCCGGGAGCCAAACACCCTCGCTATGCCTCTGATCCACACCCTATACCCCATACCCAACATCCTCACCATACCCAACACCCCACACCCGACACTTACACCCTACAGCCCACACCCTTCAGCCCACATCCTACACCCCACCTCCTAATCCGAACACTCCAAACGACAAAAAGAGTTTTGAGGTTTATAGTCCACTTAGCCGGAAAAAAAATTACTTCATTTTCTATCTTGTCACTTCACTAAAAATGAAATAAATATAATCACAATATTTATATGTAAATCTTAACAGTCTCATGTAGCATAAGGACTATTGAAATAAATCAAACATTAAATAGAAATTAAAACATTTTAACACATAACGTATTTTATGGACTATAAGATGCACTATGTTCTTTGAAAAATTGCCTCCAAAATTCAGGTGCGTCTGATACTCGAAATTAATGTAAAAATGTACAATGTTTTATTTAAAATTCTAGCCAGTCTTTAAAAAATTGCTTAAAAATTAAGGTGAGTCTTATAGTCTGTAGCGTCTTATAGTCCGTAAAATATGGTAGTTCCTGTACATGTATTTAAGCGTTACTTCTTTGGGTTTTTATTCTGTTACAGACTTTAGATATTCTGTTACAGACTTTAGATATTCTGTTACAGACTTTAGATATTCTGTTACAGACTTTATATATGCTTAAACAAGTTTTAGGCATAGTGCATCAAACATAGAATGAATATAGTTTGATGCTGGACAGTGACATAGAATGTATATAGTTTGATGCTGGACAGTGACATAGAATGTATATAGTTTGATGCTGGACAGTGACATAGAATGTAGATAGTTTGATGCTGGACAGTGACATAGAATGTATATAGTTTGATGCGGGACAGTGACATAGAATGTATATAGTTTGATGCTGGACAGTGACATAGAATGTATATAGTTTGATGTTGGACAGTGACATAGAATGTATATTGTTTGATGCTGGACATGCAAAAAAATAAGGCTTAAGCTCAACGGGCGATCTTACGCCACGGTCATTTCCTTTAAAAGAAAAACAAAGTTGCTGGGCCAAATAAAATAAAGACGATGACATTATAAGATACAATAAGATTTCATGGTGTTCTATCATGATTTTCATCTTACTATGTGGCCACAAAACAAATTGCAAACAACCGATTAAGTCATATTGGCGGACTGGCAATGGTTTCCTGTCCCAGTGCGGTTCACACTGACACTACTTTACAAGATTCAATTTATGATGACTGATGTATTGCGATCGGCAATCTCGCTGTAGCTACACAATTCATTTGCCAGTCCATTGATTCCAACGTTAGGAAACAATGTTTCAAGTAAACACCTCCGAATAATATTTACATTCACTTTTCCTTGAGAATTATTATTATTATTATTATTATTATTTTGAACTAAAAAAAGGGTTTTCTTAAAAGCATTAGTTGACTTTTAGGTGTATTGCAATGAAAAGTTGTTGTTTTTAATTCTATATATTACATGCAATATTATTATTTTGTATTTAAAATATCCCTCCTCATTTTAATTCTTTTCTTTTCTTTTTTTAAAGAGTCAATGAGAAAGCAAGGAAGGTCACTCGCCTCCCTAAAAAGAGTCCATCCAAAGTACCCCAGTATCGGTACAGCTCCATTACCTCACCTCAACCAATCACAGTTGAGAAAAATTCCATCCAAGAAAAGTCCAGAAGCTCTGTTGAAAAGTTAAATGATGAAAGGCCAGGACTTAGTCTTCCTGAAGTCAAGGGAGCAGATGGTATAAAAAAAATTTAATCATTGAAAACTTGTGGTTATATTTCTATCTTTATTTTTCAAGGAAATTATATTTTTTCTTATATTCAGTGATTTTTTTTTTTTTGAGAGAAAAAAATAGTGCCTGAACTCTTATTTGTTTGATTTAAAAAATATACATTAAGATAACTTAAGTTAAATTTCACCTAAAATTGGTAAGCAAGGCCATTATAGTGTGTTCTGTTACAAAAAAAGTACTGCAAATAAATATATAAATATTTTCAACTGCTAAAAAAAATGTTCCAAGCTACTTAAAAAAAGTATTATGCTTTTCAAAATTTAAATTTTCATTTAATGCTTAGTGATATGATTTACCAATTGTTTATCGAGAGAGTATTTTCTATTTTTTTAATTAACTGTTGAAAGAAACCCCATTACAAAAAGAGAGAATTTGGAGCAATTTAATGTGGGGGAAAGTTAGATGTTATGAATATTATCTATTTATTAATGGCTGAGACCAGTGGTTCCACAACTTCTTTTTTCAATAGACTTCAAAATTTTTTATAACAAATATTTATTTAAAAAAACATAATTATAGCATAGAAACACAATAACTACATAAAAACATCAAATAAATTTAAGAGCGTCACATCAGTCATGAAAACCTAACAAAAACAAGATATAAAGTGTTAGATTTAGATTACAAAGTCCTCTGATTAAAATTTAAAAAATACTGCATGTTCAAAGCAAATCTCCAAAGAATTTAAAGCTTTTGTCCTGCTGCTTTTATTTGCAAATTAAATAAGGCCATTAGTTAATGAATTTTTTTTTTTTAAACTTAATTTATTTTAATCTTCTTGTCGCACCTTTTGTCCTGCTTCAATGCACCATATCACAACATTTTTTGAAACCACTGGTCTAGATTGTTGCTGTATTTCCTTTGTAAGAATGTAATTGATAATGTAAACCACAAAAATAATTTTCTCTGGTATTCAGCAGCCAGCACTAGAGCAAAGGACAAGCAGCAAAGTCCATACAAAAAGTCCAGTGTCTCAAGTATACCTCACATCAGCAACATGGAAACTTTAACATCTAGTTCATCACAGGTAAACGTAGATTGGGGAGCCTGTAACAAATTGTTCATCACAGGTAAATGTAGATTGGGAAGCCTGTAACATATTGTTCATCACAGATGAACATAGATTGGGGAGCCTGTAACATATTGTTCGTCACAGGTAAACGTAGATTGGGGAGCCTGTAACATATTGTTCATCACAGGTAAACGTAGATTGGGGAGCATGTAGCATATTGTCCATCATTGTTGAAAAGTTTATTACAGAACTTTTAATCTAGATCAGGAGTCTTATGGCCCACGAAAATACCGAATAGTTGACCTATGAGTCTATAATTAAGGTAAAAAAATTTTGTAAAGAGGCTTGAAAGTCTGAGCTGTATATCAACTTTAAAAAAAATTGTATAGTTTAGATGTGGCATACTGAATAAAACATGGATATTTGGTCTAAGGCAGGGGTCTCAAACTCAAATTATCCGGGGGCTTTAGGAGGTATAGTCTGAGTGAGCCTGGGCCACATCAAGAAGTACACAAAAAAACGATTACAAATTCAATAAAGTTCAACTGTTACAATCTGCTCAACGTTTATTAATAACAAACAAAAACTATAAAGGTTCTCAAGAACTAGGCTTCACTTTCCTCCTCCTACTCCTTATTGCCAGAGACCTGGCAGCGCTTCTTCTTACACAGCAGAGCAACATTTTGTTTGAGTGAAACCCAACTGAGGCAACTTCTTCATTAAAGGAGAAGGGCTCATCAAAAAGTTGAATAGTGGCTCTGTGTGTTTTGAAGTCTTAAAACATGTGATCAAATTCTTCCAGCTTTGCAATGGCATCAGTATACCTATTACTGAATGGTGTGCCAGAATCCAAGACCTATAACACAAATTGTGTGCATAGTTCCCTGACATTGTCATAGGCAACACTGACAAGCTAACCCTAGTCTTGTAACAACTTGTTGTGTACATTCAGCTACTGTGTAATGTCAACAAGAAAAGCCAAGTCCATGAGCATTTGGAATCATTTAGTACAGGAACAACATTTAGTCCAATTTCTACAATTATAATCAGCGTCCAAATCTATACAAACATAATAAATATCAGAATTAGACTAGTCGTTAAAATATGACTGTAACCGTCGCAGAGGGTCATATTATAGATATGAGAATGGGGGGAACGTGCGACCCGCATTAATAATAAACTTTGCTGTCATGTAGTAGGCCGCAAAATATCGTCTTGCGGGCCGCAAATGGCCAGCGGGCCGCGAGTTTGAGACCCCTGGTCAAAGGTTTCATTTTGTTGGGGTACCTCAAATAATTTAAATCATGGATAACCTACCCAAATGGCTATTCTGGCCATTTTGATCGCTTGTGATCTCTTCTTTGCAGGCTGCATTATCTGCAGATCTAATATAAAAAAAATAATTTTTAATTAATTTGTACATAATTATTATAATTTTCTAAATGAACGTAATGAAACTCAAAATTGCAAAATTAAATAAAACTAAAAATATTTATTTTTAATTATTTCTCTTGCTTAAAATTTAGAGATCTATTTCTGTGTGTCTTTTGCAAATCTTCACTTACCGGTACTTTTTTAGCTTTCAATAGATGTAGAGAATGGTATTTTAAATTTTGTGAATTTCTTTTTTTTTTAAACAAAAACGTTTTAGGAGAAGTTTATTAGTGAAACATCCTGTGGACCACAATAGTAAACACACCAGGCTAAGAGTTGGCCATCCCGGTGTAAATGCTGAATATTCTATATTCTTAGAACACCTCTTCTTAATCTATATGTTTCAAGGCAATAAATTTAGTTCAATTCTGTGTGCGGAGAAAGGAAATTATTGAAAAATATTTTTTTATTTCTGGCACCGCCATCCCCCCTCCTCCCCCATGTTTTTAGGAAAATAAAAATTTTGACTTTTTGAATGTTCCCCAGCTTGATAATAGCTTAACACATGAGAAAGAAGTCAATTCAACTCTGCCAAATGTTTGATGAACAATGGCTTTAAACCATCTTCTGGCTTAATCAAGACTGGCTGTCTTAAAGCTTGCAGGAAAAAGTGATAGATTATCCATAGGCATTTTTTTTTATAGAAGATAAACAAATTTGTGTTTCTGGTCTGAATTTTTGTCACAGCTGAGATGAATTATTAATATTTTTTATTATTTTAACATTTTTATAAACATTCATTTGCTTACAATAAATAAATCAGTTTTTGTGACGGATCCATAAATATGTCACTTCTATAACCTGATGAATCACGTTAATGCATGGAATGTTGGGGCATGTTACAATAAATATGCCACTTTACAGATTTATTGCGTGTTGTGATCATAGACATATCTGAGTGGCAATAAGTATGATTATTTTTCTTTTTTTGGTCTTGAATTTGGGTGGAAAAAAATTAGGTTATTTTTAGATTGTTTCAAGGTGTCGTCAAACTTCGAACAAATCGAGCCTGTATAATGATGGTTAGCTCAACTCCGTTCAGTTATAATTTTCCCACTCAAAGTTCTCCTTTAGGGAGATCATTCACTTGTTTAAAGCATCCTGGACTTATTAGAGCGCCTCGACCCATTTGGTCATCTTTACATTATCATCACTTTTACATAAGTAGATCATCATTTATTTCAGACTGATCCTGTCTTGCCAGTCCCATATTTAAAGTTTATCTGTTGAAGCATTTAATAGCCTACTGTCATGGTTCAATCATGGCATGATGAATATATATAAATAGATTGATAACAAATGGAATATAAATATATAATATATGATGCACATACCGGGTATTCTGATAAAAGTATCAACACAGTGCAAATAGGCAGACTTTTTCACAAGAAGGGCTGTGAGAAAATAACATTCACTAGAAACTACCATTGTTGCAAACAGGAACCATGTTTATAATGTGGGTTTTCATGGGCAGTGCCGGTGATTGATTTTTTTTGTAAAGCCACTGGAATCTTCAATATGGGGAAATATGTAAATGTAGCACAAAGAAAAACCGGGGATAAAATATTGGTGCGGGCGTTCACTTTTTCCTAACCGTGATTCTTCCTCATTACGGGTATGTTATATTTCAGTTATGCTCCGCAGCTGGGCTTTCAAAAATATAATTTTTTGGGGCATCTCATGTGAGAGTTCTAGTAACAACTTGGTGAACTAGCAAGAAGTACTTATGTTGTTATCTCAAGTCCTTATTGCCATCACATACAAATGGGGAAGACAATTTTTGTTAGTTTTCACTGCTCCTCAATCTCTGCTTTATCGCATGTTTTAATGAAAACAGACACCAATCAGAATTTTATCATTACCATATCAATCGTTAAAGGATTTGAAGCATCTATTTTACCAGTAACTAATCTCAAACCAAATGTTGCTCATATCAGGGAATTAGCAAGTGCAGATTCTTGTGTTCTTAATCTAAATATCAGTATTTGTAGTGGTTTACTTTTTGAGGTTTGTTGCCTTTTAGCCTGTCTTTGATTGGCTTTATTGGCTATATATTGCTTTATCAAACCATATTGAATGGATATTTAAATCATCCACATTGAATGGATTATTCAAACATTTAAGAGCATAGTAGTGATTGATTGCAGCACCTTGCATTTAAAGAGACATATACTCAAAATAACATATATCTGTATCATAAAATGTGATATTTATAATATTTTTATTTTTTATTTTCCATAATGAAAGGTTATGAAAATGGGATGCCAATAAATAGATACCGTATGTGCAGTAGCTAATTTTAGCTAACATAATGAAATAGCAAAATGCATCTCTTATCTTTACTGTTGATTTGAATTATGGTGAAAAATATCATTGGTTGTTGAGTTTTTAATCAGAATAGAATAGATGCATGTTCACTGAGGTAAATACTTTAAAGTTAACAAGATTTGAAAAATAAACACCACAAAAAAAAAAATAAGAATCTTGTAATTCATTAATAAAACTTCTTTAATTTTTTTTATGAGCTTATAATTTCAGTCAATATGATTCAGTAAATTATAAAAATATGGCCATACCCCTTTTTTTTTCTATAACAAATAAGGTGGCTTTAATCAGATATGAGTGTACCAGGTATCAATATCTATATTTCTATATTCTCTCTTTTGAACAGTTTAATCATCTTGTGAAATTTAAACACTTCTTTTCTTTCCTTCCCCTTCTACATGTTCTAATGACCTATTTATTCCAGATGTATTTATCCTAGGCTAAAATATTTAAAGGTTAAAAAGTTATTACCTGGCTTGTATTATTGTTTCAATGTTGCAAACAATCAAGATTTTATTTATTATAAAAAAACATGCATTTTAAAAAGAATTTTAAAACAAGATGAGAAAGACTATAGTCTAGTCTTAGATTTATTATAAAATATACTGACCAATGAGAGCTAAGAAAACAAGGGAAATAACTTTCAATTGAAAATATGGCTTTTGTGTGCAATAAATAACAAAATATTTTACTGTCACGTCTAGTAAAATAAAATATTGATAAATGTACATATTTTTCCTATGATTAATTGTGAATATTACCATGTTAAGTTTGCAGTGATATCATTGTTCTGTGTTTGTTCATCTATACCAGTATTATGTTCACTTTAAGACAGAGAACTATAACTGTTATATGTTCTCTGCTTTAACTTTAAGAATTTTCACACAGCCTTAATTAAAAGAGTGCTTTTTAGCACTGAAATCATTTCTATGTAAAAAAAAAATTATTATTAATTTTATAATTTATATATGAAGAAAGGAATATTTAGTTTTGATATTAATAATATAATTGTTCACTTTTAATGTTCAAAAACTTTGTTCAATCTATTTTAAGTTAAAACAATTTTTATTTCATCTTTAGTAATAGGACATTATTATCCGAGGACAAGAAGTTAAGTTTTATTTTCATATTTTAAGTTAAGAAAGATATTTGAAGAGACTAAGCTGTAGAATAGATTCAGAGTTATCCTTCTTTGCAACGCGTGTTCTAAAAAAACGTAAAATCTTCACATTATTTTATTTGCAATAATGGTTTCAGTGACTATTTGTTTTACAAGTTGACATTAAAAACAATTTAAAAAATAACGTTTTCTGATTGCCAGTTATAATTGTTGTGTTTGTTCATTTATAGCAAATACGAATCTGTAGCAAATGAGTATGAGCAAAGAAAGGTATTCCAGAAAATATAATGATATAATGCAGTAGCAAGAAATCTGTGACGACAGTTCCGGATGTCTCTAAAGCTTATTGTGATATAGTGTTATGAGGATAACAAATTTAATGATGAACAATATGTTACAAAGGGTGAAAACCAGTATGCAAAGAGAAAACAATACTGAAGCTAGTGATAGTATTGACAACTAGAAATAATTTATTTAATTTGACTATTAAGTTGTCAGTTGATATAAATTCCAAAATCGTATATAGAGAAATAAAAACTGATAGTGACAGATTTTCATAACAAAGGGCGCACAACTGCTGCACACGTTTCATAACCAACACGAAGCTCGCGTTAATAATCAAGGATTGGGAAGGGGGGGGGGGGATTGTAATGCGTGGCACAAAGTTAGTTGGTAACGTTACAAAACAAGAGAGGCGATAGACAATAGCTGGAAGGAGGCTGTAACTGTAACAGACATGTATGCAGGTTAATATTGACATTTCAACAGAACATGTTACCAGTCCTTGGAAATACATTTCCCATGAAAAGTATACTTTTTTTTTTTTTTTACTTTGAAAAGGAATAATTTTTCATTTATTACCAATTCCATGGATTTTATTTTTTTTGAAGTGAACAAAAATTTACATTGCAATTATTTCATTTTATACTGAGAAGTTTAATATTTTAACATTTTTCAGCAATTCTCTGGACATAACTGCCTATTTTAGAGACGTCGTATGGGTTCTCAAACTAATGCAAGAATTACAACGACAACACAAACTGAGAAAAAATCTTTGAACATAAGGAATCAAGCGTGTAAAAAGAAATGAGAGCCGTTAAGATATCTCTTGCCATTTCTATTGGGATGATGCAGTCAACGCTTAAACCCAATGGCGGTCTGGAAGTTTACATTATATTTTAATAGTGAACACAATAATGTATATCTTTATATGCCAAGAGGAGATTTAACTCAACTTGTAGTTTAAAGAAATGCAACAATGAGTTGTTGTTGTTTTTTTCTTTTTCATTTCGTCATCTTGAGTTCAAAATTTAGAAATACATACTCTTAATATATTCGCTCTTCCAAAATAGAAATGTAAATTAAATATTAAACAAAAGTAGGTCAAGCAGAATATAAAATGAACAAAAATAATCATCATTTTAAGTGTAAGAAGACCCCCAAAAATGAGTTATTTAACGACCAGGTCGTTAAATAAATCATTTTTTAAAAATAAACTATTTAGAGACCTAGTTTGAAAAATGATTTATTTAACGACCTAGTTAATAAAAGTTTTTTTTAAACACATTCGAACCCACTTATCTCGACCTCGGTTAACTCAAAAACAACTTTCATGTCGACGTTTTGGAAGTGGAACCGCCAAATTCTCTCTTTGTCTAATCATTTTCTCATCGGTTATGTCGATCATTTTATGTCGCCGAATCCTGATATCTCGAGCACAAAAGGCGGCTGAACTTGCCAATTGACCTCGGTTATCTCGATCCCCATGACCAATCGCCGGTTTTTTTTTAATAATTTACAACAGAAACATGCCTACTGCAAACTGTTTTAATTGAAATGAATGGACAATATCGTCCGCGCAATTAACTTGACACAGCAAGAAGCGAGGAGTGAGGGGCCTGCAAACAAAGGAGAGAGGTCGAAGTATCTGTTCTATTTATAGCGAACCCGCTTGTCGCTATTAGGCTTTCACAAGTTCTTACCCATTGTTTTTTTTTTTGTTTTTTTTTTTTTTTTTTTTTTTTTTTTTTTTTTTTGTTTTTTTAACCCAGAATCCTTATTTTAATAAATTGAACTGGCAAATCCGGATCAAGAGAAAATAAAAACTCGCGAATCTGGAGCTGAAAAAAATATTTAGCCTCATGAATCCGGAATTCCGGGATAGTCCGGAAAAGTGGTTACACACATATGCCTCGTGTTGTTAGCAAACACGTATGTACATTTGTACAGCATGCCGATCGCTTCATCATACAAATCATGGTAACGCTGCTGTGTAAAAAAAAAAAAAAAAAAAACCCAACTCCAAAAACACGTGCTTGTACATTCTCATTTATAAACGCACATTGCGTACCTAAAGAAATCTCAAGCACATGTTAATATATTGCCGTCATATTTATTATCTTGATCATCGGTTATCTCGTCGCTTCTTGGCAAACCCCGAGGCCGTCGACATAACAGGGTTCGACTGTAATACCACTTAAAATAAAAGTAAGAAATACTTGGATCCATGAAGTGGCTTTCTATTTATTTTATCAGTCTGGTGTATGCACTCAAATTGAATGCCTTATTATTTATTTTATCAGTCTGGTGTATGCACTCAAATTGAATGCCTTATTATTTATTTTATCAGTCTGGTGTATGCACTCAAATTGAATGCCTTATTATTTATTTTATCAGTCTGGTGTACACTCAAATTGAATGCCTTATTATTTATTTTATCAGTCTGGTGTATGCACTCAAATTGAATGCCTTATTATTTATTTTATCAGTCTGAGTTTCTATTTTTTTTTTAAATATTAATTACATTTTTTTAAAGTATAAAAGAAATGGGGCCAACAATGATGGACGATTCGCCCCCCCCCCCCCACACACACACACTTCCTAACACTCCCTAGCTACGTATGAACACGGTCAAATTATGTATGCAAAAGTCAACCAAAGACTTTTCTTTCTTTAAAAAGTGTACAATTTCTGCTTAAACAAACCAACTATTAACGTATTCTATTGGGCAACCATTAAGTAGCCTACTGAACTTCATCATTACTTGCTGGTGAGGAAATGCATATTATGCCACAAAACGCTCATTAAATAGACTACTCGAGGAAGGGAGTAACATCACACAAACTCAACTTCCTTCAACTTCAATTGATGAGATATTTAAAGAAAAATTCCGTTGTAAAATGAAAGATCAAATGGATGATACATCCCTCCCTCTTCATCTCAGAGACCTGCGATCAGCTGGATCAGAGCGATATCATTCTCCGAAAGATTTTTTTTTTAAAATTCGTTTGTTCCCCAGTCTGAACCCATTTACCATCATGCTCCCCAGCGGTTTCTAAATCTAAATGATCACAAATGAAGTCATTATTGTCTCTAAAGGAGTTCATTGATGGCTGATTTCTACGCTGGAGAAATAATTTAGATGCCTGGTGTTTAAACTGTTATAATTGTAAAATGCTTTCTTGATTGCATAAGCATTTATTTATGTGCTGAAAATGAAAAGGCCTATGTACAATATAAAAAAAAAATTCAATTGGATCAATAAAAGAATCTTATCTTATACAAATAATGAAATCGGTTTTAAATTTATGAAGAAATCAAACTTTAAATAAAATTAAATACAATTGGAGCAAATGGAAAGCGATAACACACACACACAAAAACGAACGTTAATATCGGATAAGACTTTTTTTAAATTTTTTTATTAATTTTTTATTTTGTACATTTTTTAAATATTAAAATTGAATCAAGATAAAATTAATTCATGAAATTGTAATGCCACGAAAGAGAAAATAAGTTCTCACACCAACTTCACATTAAATTATGTAACTATGTTTATTTCAAATGTAAAAATGCGCCAGATCTTGAGACAGTGGAATAGACGGTTAAAAATAAACATCGAAATTCAACACATTTCTGTATCAGTTTAGTGTCATAAGGCACTCAAGATTTATCTCGTGGCTCCCTGAACTCTTGAAAGGAATTTTTGAAAAGTTACATCGAGTTCACTGCCCATTAGTAACACGCTAAAACACGTTTTTTTTTTTTTTTGTTATGTGATATTATATGGCATTAATCATTCCAGAAAATCTGTGTCTGCAAAGGACAACGGAGAAAATTATGGACGACACTGGAGTTCTTCAACACATGGAGGTGCAAACGGGCAGAGAACAACTCGCTGGCAGCTGGTGCCCGGAGGGCAGAAAGGAAAACACCTGTTGGGTCCACAAATCGTGTCACTGGTTCTGGGAGGTTGTCCGGGAAGAGGTTGTCCGGGAAGAGGTTGGCCATAGCAGCATGTTCCCAAAAACCCGGAGCCATCAGGAGCACAGGCACAGTGTTGAGTGGACAGGGAGAGAAGACATTACACTTGCGCTCTTGCAGTATTCTGATTTGACATAAAAATTGAGTACGTTGCTGAGTTATATGTATGATGAAATAACATGTACTTTTTTACAATGGAAACATAGGACATTCTTGTGACTTCTTACTGTGCCATCCATGTAACACGTTAAAAAAAATAAGTAAAACTTTCATATCATGTACCCCACCTATTATACCAGTAAAAAGCTATTAAGGAGAGAGACTGCAATCAGGTTAGCAAAAAAAAAAAAGGAAATTAATAAAACAAAGTACGATCAAACCTGAAAAAAAGGAACGCAACAAAACAACAAACATGTCGACAAAAGCCTTCGTCAGCGAAAAACAACGGAAAAACAGAATTAAATTTTTAAAAATAAGCTGAGAAGTGGTATCCGAGAGGGCAGCAAAAGAATTGTGACAGAAAATAAGAGGAGGAGAGATTAAATAGACGCAATAAGGGAAAGAAAAGAGGAGAGG